TAATCTATATATATATATATATATATATATAATAAGAATTACTATTTACTAAAAATAATAAGTAAAAAAATCCGCCAAAATTAATTGAATTCCATTTATGGAATGTTTTTTCATTTTTTGTATTTTTTATTTATAAAAATTATAGCACATTTAATGCTACCATAAATTATGGGATTAATTATATTTAAATTTCAAAAAATCTTATCTAAATGTATTTTGAAAAATGAGGATTTCATCTATTATACATCACCTGATCACTACGAATTGATTTAGTTAAATAATTTCTTTATGGATTTATTTGTTTTAATAAATTACACTCAAGTTCACTATAAATACATAACTTTTGCATCATACATTCGCGCACATTTTATCATATACAAACATTTCAATACTATTGTTATTATCGTTTAAAAGATGACGAACAATGAGGTCTAATCTAGGAGATCAAGAGGTCAAGTAGATCTTTGATTAAGCTACGCATTGTTCTTATCTTCCAACGAACTTTTGAGGTCTTCTCTTTATAGTCATATCGAATTTTAGAATAAATAATTATTCAAAAAATAATTATTACCAAAATAATTATTTTATGGAATCACAGTGTAGCCATATCTAATTTCTGAATAAAAAATTTAAACTAACATTAATTTTAAAATGAATATAATATAATTTTAAATAGACATATTTATATGCAATTTTACATGATTTAAATTTCTTATAACATTATTAATAAATTAATATAGGTAAATTGTATTGTATATAGATCTCATATTTTTAATTTATGAATATTATTTAATGAGTATTTTTTATTTATAAATATTAATAAATATCTCTTACTCGTGCATCGCACGAGATTCGTACTAGTTAGAGTTGATAATGATTGACAAGGGAGGCAATTCGGCACAAGGCACAATTAGAAGCACGATATTAAAGACAAATAATATGGTAAGCACCACAAACGCGAAAACATACATAATACTTAAATACAACATGTATAAAATAACTATTTTTTTTTTTTTTAAAATTTAGATTTAATTTCATATTTATGATAAAACAAAATAAACAACATGGAAATACAATAAACACAAACACAATTGCAATGCCTATTGTTTGCCTCGATATGCATGCTATATTACTCTTTTTTTTTCTATTCAACATTTTTGTTATAAAATTATAATATAATGACATTATTCTACCCCAAAAAAAATGTCACTTAAAATTTATCATTTAAAAGATATTTAAGAAACAATAATAAACTGAAAATAATATATATATATATATTATATTATTATAAATTATATTATAATTAAAGAAATCAGAAAAAAACAGAACAACGCAACTGAAAGAGTAAAGTTGGAGAGAGAACACAGAAAAGAACACAAGCTAGTAGTTGCAGAGATGAAAAGTTAGCGAGAGGATTCAAAGGCAAACAACAAAAAACATCGTCACTGTACCAATTTTTTCACCATCCTATATTTCTTTAATTGTTCTCATTTATTGTGAAGGCAAAATAAAAGAACTCATTTTTTTCTTCCCTATTTTTTCCTACTGTTTTCTGCTTCATTTTGCTTCTTTAGCTGGTGATGAAGCTGAGGCTGCCCGTTTCGTTTTCTCCCTTTTAAATTGCACATTTTCTTGGCCATTTTTGTTTTTGCTTCTATTTTATTGTCTATGGATTCAGTTATTGGGGTTCTGTAGTTTTGGGCAGTTCTTTTATTACCTGTTGTTGGCATATCTTGTTACACACACAACCACAATGGAAATAATTATGGGTTTTCTTGGTGTGGCAGTGAGTTTTTCAAATGGTTAGGAGTTTGAATTTTGCATTTTTGTATGTTAGTGAACTTGTTTGTAGTTTGGAGTAGCTGAATTTGTTGGGAGTTTGAGGGGTTGGATTAGTATTTTTGGTTCTATTGAATGAACAATATTTAGGGATGGCATTTTGAAGTGGGAGACCTTTTTTGATCTGGGTTTAGAATCTTTGGTGGGTTTTAATGGTTAAAGGTGTGATCTTTTGAGGTGAATCTTAGTAAGGTATAAGAATTTGAGCAGCTTTTAGTTTATGGTGTGTGATTGCAAGTTAGGAAAACAAAAAAGAACAATGGAAATGTGAAACGTTGTCTTTTTTGGTAGAGGAAGAAAATTGTGTGGTGGTATTCATAGGATTGATTACTTCATGACAGTCACTTTTGAGATTTAAATATTTTTCAAGGAATTAATCTAAGACCATGTACAGAAAAATGTCCCCGTCACCTGCAACAAGAATGTCACCGCATAGGGATCTTAGAACCGAGAATCACAAGAGAAGGCATAGTCTTGAGAGTGGGATTTCGAATCGAGACAAAGAAGATGATCTCGAGCTATTCAATGAGGTTCGGGACAAAGAGAGAGAAAATTTCTTGTTGGATTCGAATGACAATATTGACGACATCTTCTGTAAATTCTCACATCCTGTACTTGTATGCTATTAACTTTGATCAGATAGTTTTCAGCATAGATAGAGCATGTGGCACGTGCGTTGTGGTTTAAATATGTCGCTTTACTGACAAAATTTGTTTTTTTTTTCTTTTTGCATTATTTATGTTATCAACAGCGACAAAATTTGGATATTTCTCGGGTCATAAGCTTGGAATTTCAGCCCCCAGTCGAGGAGAGAGTAGTGACCTGCTCAATGATGGGGGCAATAATAGAAAGGATTATGAGTGGTTGGTTTTTTTTTCTCTTCCTTCTGAAAGATTCGTTGATATATTTTTTGTTTCATGCTGTTGGTTGAGTGTAAATGAGAAGGACATTGATGATCATGATCGATAACAATTAACGTTTTCGTATAATTACAGATTTGGTATTTCGTATAAGATTCTTCCACGTGGTTTTTGCATGTTTACCCTTTTTTGTGCTGCGTGTATTTCTTGCTTGATCGGTCGATCATAGTTGGATAATTAGCTCATGCTCATACATTTATTTATTTCTGTTTAACATACATGTCGATCAACTATAGGTTGGTAACTCCTCCCGAAACTCCTCTTTTTCGTTCTTTGGATGACGAGGCACCACCTCAAGTCAATCGTGCACATACGAGCAGGCCCACGGTAATAATTAAAAGATACAATCAGCATAAATTGCATTGAAGTAGGAATACCGAATCTATTTATGCAGTCAATCTCCAATCCTTTTTCACATTCTCACAATTCTAGCTCAAGCTTAAATGGTTTGCAACTAAATAGTAAAATACTAAATACTCCCCATGCTCAATTTACTTTAAAATCTGATTATGGGCAACTTTTCTAAATCAAAATCCTCACAAGTTGTACTTTCTAAGACTGAGCTAGAGCCGAAAAATACGAAACTTTGAGTACCATACTTAATTAATCGATATTGAAACTTGAGATGGAGAGAGGTGAAGAGAGCAGTAGAAGTAGAGCCAGTTCAAGCCCACATCGCCGTAGCCCATCCCCAAAACCGAGCAAACCTTTCTCTGTGACTCGCTCAAGCCCGCCTTCAAGAGGTCATTCGCCCCCACGCAGGTCCAGTACACCGACACCACGGAGGATAATATCCACCCCATCAAGGACGAGAGGTGCCTCGCCAGTCAAGACAGGACCAAAAGTAAAAGCGTGGCAGTCGAGCATTCCGGGATTTTCTTCCGAAAAGCCACCGAACCTTCGGGTCGATCGGCCGGCCTCGTACATGAGGGGGTCATCATCACCAACTTCTGGGAATGGAAGAAAGTCGATTTCTCCAGGTGCTTCTAGAAGCATCGGCTCGTCCAGAGGCTCGGTTGTGTCGTCTGGCGATGATGATCAGGATTCTCTGCATTCGGTCGGAAGGGATGTTGGCGTTTTGAGAAAACAGACGAGGGCTTTGTCGAGGTCGGCCCCGAAGAGATCGTTAGATTTGGGTCGGCAAATGGTAAAGTTTTTTTTTTTTTCTTAATGATTTAAATATACCAACTGGTTTTTTGTTTTATTCTAATTTTGTATTTTGATGTGCTTTATTGTTACTTTTATTTGGAAGTAAAATAAAAATGTGCTGGATTATCCTTTAATATTGGTATCCTTCCAAATTTGGTGTAGCCGTGTGGAGGATCTGTATCTTTTTCGATTGTGTATATTTGTTTAAGCTGTTGTTTTACTTGCAATTCTGAATTTCAAATATGTTGTTTAAGAGTACACGAATGACTCTTATCGGTTATGGAGTATGTATTATATCCTCACGTAATTGCATGGACCAATATATAGCTGTCAGACAGACTATAGTCGGATTATTTGTCTTCTCCAGAATATTTTGGTCCGGTTTTTCCGCTTATGCTGAATCATAACACGATGTTCTTGTGGCGTGATCCATTTACATTTTGACATATTTACCCCCTTTATAACTTTGAAACATTCAATATGCTCCTAGTGTCTCATCTTTCGAATGACAATGTCCTCAAATTATAGCATGAACATGATTGATTCTGTAGCTATGTTCAACTATTTGTTTGATGGTTATAAATTCGTACTTTTATAGATGAAATGCTATTCATATTTCGTAAGCCAAACTATGTTTTTATTCATATATTATTTTGCTTCCTTCCCTCTCTCTATCTCTCTCTCTCTCTGACTTTGTTCCTATTCATACTTTTGATGATTTTGCTTCTTCTCTCTCTCTCTCTCTCTCTCTCTCAATGTTCAGGATCGAAAAAGTCCACCGAATATGTTCAGACCGCTTCTTTCCGGTGTCCCAAGTTCGACATTCCATGCAAGTTCACCACATTATTCCGCGGCATCCAAATATTCTTCAATCACTGCTCGAAGCAATCCTAGTACCAACCTAAGGACAAGTGGGCCCAAGGATACCGAAATAAACGAGCCAAAACAAGAAGACACGAAAATCGACCCTTTTAAGGACCATGATTCATATGCTGATGACGACATATTTGTCATGGATCAGACACATGATTCAAGTGACAAGATTGATATCAAGATCTCGCAGAACCCAGCTGTTGACACAGCTGGCACAATTATGGATGTGAAAAGAAGTGATTTTTCGGACGCTAATGTCCCTCCGGTTAATATGGTAGTCGTGTGCTCTATATGCGGCTTGATATTTAATTCATCTCAAGTAGTAGTTATAGTCGATGGGGGCCCACCGATCTGTCACGAGTGCAAAAATTCGGAAGCAAATTCAACGACCATCAACCCGGTTGAAATTTCGGAACCGTTGGAAGGGAAAAATCATTCCATCGAGAGTCAACTTCCGAAATTAATGGAGTTAACACAGCCGAGTGAAGACAATGAACTTACTTTCACCTCTCGACTAGTGATTAAGCAATTGCAGCATGATGGGTTTGGTTCAAAAATGTCTGGTAATAATTCTTTTACTATCCGGAGCAGGAGTTTTACGGCAAGTAACAACACCAGCTTTGACGATTTTTCCTGCGCGAGGGACAGTTCGAACAGCAAGAAAAGCACGTTTAGTGCATCTGTATCGTCTTCTTATGATCTGGGCGGGTTTTTTTCCAGGCAAACGGATCGCCGGATTTGTCGGCAGATGAGTGGCCCGAATTCTGATGTGGGAACTTATAGATACGAAATGCCTACTGTGCACATACGCACAGATTCGTCCATTTCTGGTGCTTCGACTTACTTGCTGCATGTCACGAGTGAAGATGGTTTTGAGGAATTTGATAAGAAAACATGTTCGGATCCTCAAGAACAAGAAATGTGTAGTACATCATGCGCTAATACTGAAAAAGATGACATTTTTAGAACTCAAGAGCAGCTGGTGTTAGAGGAGAAAAATGAAAACTTAACGAGCAAGTTTTATGATTCAGGGAATGACAAAAGTTTGCCTGCACAATCTCAGGCTTCCGAGCAGGATGAAGATGTGGGCCTACGAAGTTCATGTGGGCCTAACCCGAGCTCTTTTGATGGAGTATCTGAAATTGTAAACGAAGATGCTGATGTTATATCTGATGTTGATGCCATTGCTCAAAAGAGCTGCATGAATGAAATACAGGAAGATGAGGATATTACAGAATCTATCGAAGGATTTGACGTATCGATACCTGGCTATCATATTCGTGGTATGAGCATATCAAATTCTGAATACTACTTGATTTTTTTTTTTCTTCTGTTTTTAGTTTGTTTTCATTTGTTTCAGCTGATACGGTTTAAAGAACTTTGAACGTTTGTCCTCACCGTTTATATGCTTGTGCAAAGATTGTCAATCCATGATTAGAAAGGCATGCAATGTATAATTTGTAGACATAATATATGATTTTTCTAAAGTTGTTTGCTTTACCTCCTGAGATTATGGGGATAATTACAGAACACCCAGGTTCTTTTCAAGTAGAAATAATATCCCTTTATTGAAAAATATTTAAAAAACAATGAACTCTGAATCATACAACAGGGGCTTTGTTTTCTTTAATAGAAACTTGCTTTTAATGCTTATTTTGATGTACTTGATTTCTCATTTGATATTCAAATGCCTCTTTTTCTAATCACAGATGAATCGAGGATTTTGTCAGAAGACACAGTCGAGACAAAACCAAGTAGCCTAGTGACCCTTGAAGAAGCCACAGAAGCTATCCTTTTCTGCAGCTCCATAGTCCACAGCCTCGCATACGAAGCTGCAGATATAGCAATAAATAAGGAAAGCCCACCAAACGAAGTCCTTAGGCCCGCGGTGGGATTTTTGGGCGGGCCCGATTTGAAAAGAAGGGACAATAATATGCGTTTGAGGACCATGAGGAAACGTAGCCCGAGAGTCCAAAGAGCCCGGCAGAAGAAGCCCGAAATGGACACAAAGCCTCTTTCTAGCAATGCTGAAGCTGACGCGAACTCGAGCCCGGTTATTGTTGGAGTTCGTAATGAAGTTGACAGCGTGGGGCCCGCCAAGCTCGAGTCGAAGTGTAATTGCGTGATTATGTGAAAAAAAATAAAAGGAATATTTGATGGAAAAGGGCGACTTTTGGGGTTGGATTTTATTTATTGGATTAGTTGGGATTAATGTTTTTGTAGCTGTTATTGGTAATAAAAATATTGATTGGAGAAAAAAAAAAAAAGTTTTTAGAGACAAGCCTTGTAAAGTTTTGAATTTCACATTAGCCTGATGATGATTTAGGGAAGGCAGCTTGATTTTTCCATCTTCATGCTAGTTTTGGTGTTTGTACAATGCTGCTTTAAAGTTTTGATCTTTACTTGTTTGTATATAACTATGATGTAAGGTTGTAAACCTATCATTCATATCTGCCAATTTTTGTTGGGTGTTTGATTTCTGAAAAGAACAATTTTAATTCACTAGCCTTTTGGTGTTTNTAGGAATCTACGTACGACAAATCGCTGTTAAGTTAAATCAAAATTTCAATTTGATATAGAGATTCGATCATTGTATTTTCTTAAACCTTATATTTCTACAAAATTTAAGTTATAAAGATTAAAATGGTATATTCGAATAAAAGATTGAACATTAAAATCAATAAGAATCCAACGCTGAAATTTCAGTTTGTCGGTTACTTTATGTGTCGGGTCGGTTTGTCTAGCCTTAATGTAGGATATCCTATCACTTAATAATAATAATAATAATAATAATAATAATAATAATAATAATAATAATAATAATAATAAATAAAGTTTGTTCAAAAGTCGATTTCGAAAGTATTCAAATAACTAGTGCAATGTGCTAATTAAAAATTATATCTAAATAAAAAAAATAATGTTTTTGTTTTGAATTTAAGAATAAATGGAATTACATCAATTTATTATTCTATTTAAATAATACTTATAATAATTTTTGAAATTATATAATGGGCATGACAAATAAATATTACTATTAGCAAATGGACCAAACGGGTCGATCAACATCGGGCTTGGCGCAAGAGTCTGCCCTAAATTCGACGGCGGCGGCGACCGGAGCTACAACCTCGCACTCATCGTCCTCGTTCTTTGCTAATTATCCGTTAAATTCTGCTTTTCTCGCATTTGTCGCCCAGTCAGCAAAATTATTGCGTCAGGGTGTGCGTATTTTTTTCAATCTTCCATTGGTGTTCGGTTTGTGTATCTGTTTGTCTGAGTGAAGTTTATCTTTTTTCCTTTGTTTATTTTGTTCATAACCCTGGAAATATTATAATTACGACTGTTACTTTGTGCATGATCTCGTTATTTTTTTTCAGCTGAATGTTGCTTGGTATGCTTTCCTTATGCTTAAAAGATGGGGTTTTTATCTGTTTCAGCATACTTTGGAACCGATTTATTTTTTTTGGTATGATCTCTTATTGTAATGTTGCTTGGTATGCTTTCCTTATGCTTAAAAATTGGGATTTTTATCTGTTTTAGCTTACTTTGGAATCGATTTTTAGTGTATGTACTCTGTTTTTTTTCTAGCTGAATGCTGCTTAGTATGCTTAAAAGATGGGATTTTTATCTGTTTTAGCTTACGTTGGAATCGATTTTTAGTGAATGTACTCATTTTTTTCTAGGTGAATGCTGCTTGGTATGCTTTCCTTATGCTTAAAGAAGGGATTTTTATCTGTCTCAACATACTTTGGGACCAATTTTTTGTGTATGGTCTCGTTTTCTTATGGCCGAATGCTGCTTGGTATGCTTTCTTTATGCTTAAAAGATGGGATTTTTATTTGTTTGAACTTTACTTTGTAGCCGATTTGGAACTAAATAAGTGACATATTTTAAGTTGTCTTTTGAAAATGTGATTTCTAATCAAACTGTGGTAAATGAAAGTGCTCTTGCTTAATATTTGAAGAAATTGGATTTCAGTAATGTTCAATTTTTATGTCAAGTGCCGGTTGAGTTTCTACATTTGTTACCTGATTTCAACGTATTATTTATATATTTCCACATGTAGCTTGTTAGTTTTTGAAGTCTTGAAAGGCCATAGAGAGTGTTGCAGGTACAAAGAAATTAAAACATTTGGATCTCAAACAACTGGTCTTTATTTGCCATTGCCTTAATCTTGGCATTTGTGGTATTATTATCTGTCTTGCTTTCATCAACAATCATGCCTCCTTGTAATCTTGCAGTACATTGTGTATCTAGAGCTAATAATTTTACTGGCATATTATTAAAGATCAATATAACTTTTGGCTACAATTTCTTAAAGGTGATTCCAGCATTCGTTTTCTAATTGATATGGTAATGATAACGATCACCGTTATAATTTTTTTATTTTTTTCCCGGTTTAACTCCTTCATTCATAGGGAAGTTTTTACTTTATGGTGAAAAATCGCAAGTGAAAGTTGGGTTTTTCATCCTTTGTAAGTGTCAAAAGGTGCAAAATCATTTAGTTTGTGATTCTTTGATGTTACATTCATGACACTCTCACCCACTTTTGTGAAAAAAAATTGAACTAAATTTCAAAGATCGGTTGTATGTGGACATATGATAATAAAATTAAAATAAAGTAAAATATTTGGTTTGTGTCTCTTGTATTGTCACAATATGACATAACTTTTGCAAGATCACTTGCAAAAATGAGCCATCTTTAAGAAACACGAGCCAAGTTGAGGTTCTTGAGGGAAAATTCAATTCTACTTATATTTTGCCGTTGGATCACACACTGATGTTGGTGTTTGTTAATTTAACGGTAAAAAATTCATAGTCGAATTTTTCATCTTCGAGTTGATAGATGCATATCATGTAGTCTCATTGATAACCATGACTTTAGCGTTAAAAAATAAAAAAAAAAAATCGAGTCTAGCTTTTTGCTATATACTATTTTGGTCCCCAATATTTGTCTTATTGACAGCTGCATAAACATGAACCTCAATTGACTAAATTAAATGATTAATGCAGACTCCCACATGAAGCTAAACACAAAAAATAATGCATGATTTGGATTCATTTAAGCCAACAATGCACATGGTTCCCTAACAAGTATGCTACCATCATTGTAAAGTCCAATTATTAATAACAAATATCTCACCTTTCTCAACATTTTGCGCTAATTGGTTTTTCACTAATAACAATACATAGATTTTTCCACTTTTGTCTGTTGGGTCAAGATTTATTTTGTTGAAATTGAAAACAAAGCAAAAAGTATTTCAATAAACTAAAACAAAGTACTATTCGCTTCATTTCACTTTTTCTCTACAAATTACACCACCGCAATATCAAATTTAAAATACTTATTATTATTATTATTATTATTATTATTATTATTATTATTATTATTATTATTATTTTCCAACAAAAAGTACTATCTATTTGCTGACATATTTTGATTATCAATCTTATACATTCAATGTTTCATTACATACTTATCAAATCAACTTTAATTATTATAGTTTTTTTTTTATATCTCATATACCATCTACAATCTCAATTTTTTCTCAAACTTTCCCAAAAAACAACATTTTCCTCCTTTTTTCATCGCATTCTTTTTCCGACGGATAAAATTTTTTTTAAAAAAAATCTTGGGTGTGTTTGTATATAAAACAACTTAGATCATACTCAAAATATAACTAACTTTAACTCGAATCAATATCATCAATATTAAAATTAAACAATACTATTCAATATTTCTTACAAATCATATCAATTTTAATTCATTATTCATTCACCCACATAATTTTAGTTAACCATCACTTTACATCATCTCTCTCATATTTTTAAATCAAATCATCTTTAATTATCTTATTTTAAATATTATTTTAATATAGTCAATTCCACTGGCATTTTAACTGCTTGTTTATTGATTAATTGATTGATAACTAAAAAAAAGTTTTAACATACGCCCTGATATTCAATCACTTTCAAATTCATCTCACAATTTCTTTTCCACTTTTCCTTGCACTTTTTCCCAAAGAATCTTTTTGAAAAAAATCTTATATGAAATCGCACTTAGTTATCTAAATAAGTAAAAATATTCCCAAGAAGCAAAAGACATGATATATGCTGCAAATAATCTACCATTTTCAAAAGAATGTGATGAGATGAGCCTTATTGGCTTGATCAATGGCCATTGCTATAAGTTGTGGGGGCCCATTTATCAGGGCTGAGCTGAGTACAAAATACGGCCAACAGTTAAGTCACATTCACAAAAACCATTAATATTCACCAAAATTTTGTACCACAATAAACCAGGCAGGCATTCACTCTTTCTTGCCCCCATAATTAGCCATGTGAACTTCTGCAGAATAATAGTATTTAACCACATGGCCTACCAAAGCCTGATGTCACAATTATCTTTACTGTTAAAAAATAAAAAAAGTTGGCTTAAATCATAATTAAATTGGTAAATTATAAGGAGGGCTCATAAATTCTTTTATTAATAAATTGTAAGGAGTGTAAATCTGTATATAAGAAGAATAAATAATTTTGCAGAAAAATAGAAAGTCTAGATAATTAAGTTAGTTTTATGTTTTAGAGGAAGGTTCGAGATTTTTAACTATAGGATCACACAAATTCACACACATACACACATATGAGTGCGTGTTGATCCAACGGTAAAGATGGATATTATCGACAAATATGTACCAACATTTTTTTCTGTTCTCGGTGAAATAGGCACAAGTTTTCTTAACGTACTACTTGGCAGTATATTTTATTGGGTAATATTAATTTGTTTATTTATTTATTTTTTTACTGAAATTACCCATCATATCCTGCTATTTCTCATCTTTCCATGCAAAAAAAAAAAAAATGAAGTATTTTAGTACTTTCTACCATTGGGGTGGATCTGAAAACCTCATATACTTGCTCTAAATTCTCAAAAAGTTTCATGGTTCCAACTTTCAAGGCCATTTTCCCATTCTCTGCATTCTTTGCTTTGCTCTACTGAAAGCTCAAGTCCCATATCAAGTAAAGTCTCTCTCTCTCTCCTTAGACTATATTAATTGAACTTTCTTTACTCTAGAAACATTTTCAGTTGAATTAATGTTTATGTTACATAAATATCTATTTCACTAAGGTTTCATCAAACATTCATGGGTTTATGTAAAGCTTTAAGTTCTCCTCTGCTTTTATGGTCTTCATGTCTCAATTTGCTGTTATTTAACATTTTTCTCGCCTGTTGTCTATGCACTCACACAGTAGTCTCATGTTAGTATTTTCACTGATTAGATTTTTTTTTTATCTTGTGTTTGGTTGATTNAAAAAAAAAAAAATGAGATCCGTGGAGGATAAGGTATCCCGCGGGCCCCACCGGGCTGGCGGGGCCCTGGGAAAACCGGCCCCTTCCAAGTGGGACGACGCTCAGAAATGGCTCGTGAACCTCTCGAGGGGCGCCGAAAAGAGCCACCCCAAGAAGTCCTCCCCACGCAACTCCAACGCGGACGACACGCGGCTGATCGGGCCCCCGCCCACCGACGAGCCCGGTTCCGTCGAGGTGGTGGTGGAGACCAAGAACATGGTCACCGGGCCCACCTACTCGACCGTCCGCCCCATCTGCCTCCGGGACATGGGCACCGAGATGACCCCAATCGCCAGCCAGGAGCCTTCTCGGGCCCCGACCCCCATCCGGGCCGTGAGCCCAGTCTCGTCTGGGCCTTCTAGCCCGGTCGAGTCAGGCCCAAATGGGGATAGGGGTTTTGGCGCCGGTCAGAATGGCGGGAGCACGAGTGAGAGGAAAAATCATGAGTCGGGTCGGGTTGGGCCCACGGGTGGGGATGGGTCGAAAAAGATGAGCCCAATGGAAATCAAGGCCATGGCTTGGGAGGAGGCCCAACGGGCTAAATACACGGCGAGGTGAGTGATACATTGTTGTTTCGAGTGCTCGTGATATATAATAAAATTTCGAGAGAAAACTCGTGATTGACGTGTGTGTATATGTGCGCGTAGGTTTAAACGGGAAGAGGTGAAGATTCAAGCTTGGGAGAATCATCAGAAGAGGAAAGCCGAAATGGAGAATCGGAAAGTTGAGGTATTTTTTTTGTTTCCGGTCGATTGCATGTGTTAACACTGTAGTATGTTTGTGTGGTTTGTGAATATCAAGAAGCCAATTTTTCTTACATTAGGTAACCAAAAATGGCTGTTTTTTTTTTTTTTTNATCAAGAATATCATATTATTATTGGCTTTTGACATGTTCTTATACTATAGTGCCTAAAAGCTTGAATCAAATTATATGATTTTGCTCGTTGATCGGCTCCTAATTCGAGTCTGTATATCAATATGCTTTGCAGGTGAAGGCCGAGAGGCTTAAATCGAGGGCGCAAGAGAAGTACAACAGCCGAATAGCAGCGACTCGGAGGATAGCCGAGGAAAAACGAGCGAATGCAGAGGCTAAACTTCAAGAAAAGGCTATGAAAACCTCTGAGAGAGCAGATTATATAAGAAGAAATGGGCATCTTCCATCTTTTTTCTCCTTCAAGTTATTGCATTCTTGCTGCTGGTAGATTTGGGCAAAACAATATGCATTTTCACATGTACATGCTCATTTGTCTCTTGTAAACTATGTGATTAATGTTATTTTGCCATGCTTCTTATTTTCCCAGATTCTACTCATGTAATAATATTGAAGGTTATTTGCAAATTACCTTTTTGTTGATTTGTTTTTCCCCTTTTATGTGAGTCAAAACTAATTTTGTAATCAGCCCTTCATTTATAGCAATAATGACAAGACCCAGTTGACATGGGGAGTATTAAAGTAGGAGATATTGCATGTGCAGTGTTTATGATTGAAATTTCAAGTATTATATATATTATGGTCCTTATTAGTTGAAAAAACATTTGATATGGACATTAATCTCCAGCCAGTCACTGAAAATCAAAATTTAAAAACCATACTTTTCATGTATAAAAGCATTGTCTTGCTAGATAGTGAAAGCCTAGGTAACTTTGGATTCATATTTAATCCTTTTAGTTGAAGTGAAATATTGTATTTAATTGCAACATGAAATAATATAGAATCCATGTACAAATTGGGAAACCTAATGGTTAAATAATCGTATTTTTTCAACAATTTGCATTCTTTTAAACTGAAGAGACATACTTTACAATTACAGTATAAATGAAAGTATGACATTGCATAACATAAGTATATATTTTGTTTAAAAATTGTACGACGTATTGATCTGCCTAACGGTTATATCGTTTCACACAGAAATTGTGAATATTTAAATAATAAACCAATAGTGCATATTCCATTAAATTGGTCTAATAATTACACTGACATACTTTCTAATAATTATATTGACATACTCTTTTTACAAATACGAGGATAAATTTTATTTAAAAAATGGTTATACTTTAAAAACGAGACAAATAAATTTATGATATTTTCTAAATATTAGTATATATTTTTATTTATAAAATACGATTGGTCACCCACTTAACATTAAAATAGTCCAGACAATAATTTGTGCAGGTAAATAACCAAATATGCAGGTATATAGCAACATGTAAGAGCATTCACAATGTTTTTTTTGGTTCAATCAAAGAAATTTGTATAGCACATAAAAAATAGACTCAATCTAGAAAAATATATACTCCAATGTAAGTGCAAGTGGACTGGGTCATGCTGATGTGGCAGCAAGAGAAATAGACCGAGTCTACTCTTAAGTTTATTTTAAACCCAAATAGAAACCCAATCTTCTTGCGTTGGAGTGAATTTTGTTAATTTTATGTAATTTTATCCATGTCATATAAGACTTGAGTTTATTTACATTAAAAAACTAGACCCAATACAATGTAGATTTAACAACTTAATTTATTTATTTATTTATTTTATTTTTTTGCAAAATTCGATCTTTGACAAAGTTGCTTCAGTCAAACAAGTGGCTTGACCCGCTAACGCTACGGCCCATGTCTTGGCCCAACCCACTAAGTCACCCAGAAAAATTAATTAAACAAAAAATCGAATAAAAGCCAATCATTTATTTATTAATAATTATTACTCTCTTTCAACGCGGCGTCGGCCTTATTTTTCCCTTATTTTCTTCGCTCCTCACCGCCTCTGTTTTCTCTCTCCAATAGAAGACGTTAAGCAAATCCAACTGGCGTTACCTCGCGCTCTCTCTCTCTCTCTCTCTCAATAGCTTGTCCGATTAATCCATTTGACGGTAAGCATCTCGATTTTTGAATTCTTCGGTGGAGGTTTAGGAAAGTGGGGGGAGATTACGATTGGTATTTCCTTTTCTAGGGTTTTCGGTTTCGTTTGGCGATTCGTGTGGTTTTACTTTTTTTTTTAATTCTCTTTTATTCTGTTTATTTTGAAGCATTAGTCTACCGAGAGGGTTTATTGATTGGTCAGAGGCTTTTTGTTGGTTTTTTCCGGATTATGTGTTGTTTTCAGATGCGTATTTCGAATCCTAGTTAAAAAAAATAAAATCTTTTTATTGCTTTTAGNATCGGTTGGACGTGAGGGATAGGATTGCGGGTTTGGTTGTTGAAAACCCAAATCTAGTGAGTTGTGCTGGTGGGTTAGGGTTGATATTTTATCATCTGTAGACTCTGAGTAACATAACACTTGTTGATATGGCTGCTGGAAAACCTGGGGGTTACAGAGATAACGAATTTAGGGGCCGTGAGTCTGATTTGGGGATGCAGAGGAATGGAAATGGGTATGCAAAAGTGGAATATGAACGGGTTCGGAATGGGGTTCCGGATTATGAGAGGGGTCAGGGTCGGGGTCACGGTCGAGATAGTATGGAGTATAGGACTAAGGTCAGACAGAAGGATGTAAAGGAAAGGGAGGTGATAAATGGTGGGCATAACTCCATTTCTACCCGAAGTGATTCTGGAAGTTGCGGTGGTGGTGGTCGAAGGAGACATGGGCTTGAAATGAGTACCATAGATCGAGAGCCCGGGGAGCTTTCTAGTGATGGGTCTGATGTGGCTATTGATTCGGAAACCCAAGTTAAGGAAGTGCCTGACAGAGAAAAGGTGGAAACTGCATATCAGCCGTCTCCAGTGCAGAACAAGAAGCGGAAGTTTTCGCCAATTGTCTGGGATAGAGACGATAAGGAGGTAAGCAGGACAGTTAAAAGTAGGAGCACTGTAGTTGCAACTAATTTACCTCCATCACCTGCATTGGTGAAAACTTCTCAGCAGTCACTAAGCCCAAAACCTGATGCGGACAAGAATGCAAGGACTTCACCTACAGATGATAATCAGATTAGGTTAGAAGCGTCGCCTTCTAAAGGTGAACTGAGATCTGATTTGTCTGAAATCCCAGCTGAAACATTTTCTATGCAAATTGAAGATCAGTTGGCCAAAAAGATGGAAACAGGGTCTCTCGATGATGATGATTATGTACCCACAAGAACCATTATTTCTTCCCGGTGGGCTAGCGATGCTGATTCCCCTGCGGATGAAGGCGAGATTTCGGATTATGAAGACATGTCTAATTTGAAGAGGAATTCTGGTGGAGAGTCAACTGATGTGAGAAGATTCGGTAAATCAGTAAGTCCTCAAGTTGGAGAGGTCAAAAGAGAAAGCCCCGTGGGGACTGAAGAGAGGTCCAGTAGGTCGGATGGACGTGTTAGGTCCTCCAGTAGAGATAGTTATCGTGAAGAAGATGACAATAACGAATATATGGAAATAGATGAGGACCGTAATCATGCCAATGATAAAGCTAGCCTTTCTGAGACAGATTCCGATGATGATCGTGGTTCTCGTGGTACCTCGGATTCCCCACAACCCCAACAAAGGAGTGTTAATATGCTTCAAGGTTGCAGGAGTGTCGATGAGTTTGAGAGACTCAACAAGATAGATGAAGGAACGTATGGGGTTGTATATAGGGCCAAGGATAAGAGGACTGGAGAAATTGTTGCGCTGAAGAAGGTTAAGATGGATAAGGAGAGAGAAGGGTTTCCTTTGACTTCACTGCGGGAGATAAACATCCTTTTATCTTTCGATCACCCCTCCATTGTGGATGTCAAAGAAGTAGTTGTGGGGAGCAATCTTGACAGCATCTTTATGGTCATGGAGTACATGGAACACGATCTTAAGGCATTGATGGAGACCATGAAGCAGCCATTTAGTCAAAGTGAAGTTAAATGTCTCATGCTCCAACTTTTGACTGGTGTCGAGTACCTCCATGACAATTGGGTGCTTCACAGGGATTTGAAAACGTCAAATTTACTTTTGAATAATTGTGGTGAGTTGAAGATCTGTGATTTTGGTCTGGCTCGTCAATATGGTAGCCCCCTAAAACCATATACTCATCTGGTGGTTACTCTGTGGTACAGGTGAGGATCATCTTTATGTCTTTTATATTTCATGTCTATGTATGCATGTAATTATGCCCGTAATGAAAATGGATTTCAATACATGTTGGGCGGATCTATTCTGTTTTTGGTGCAAATGACCTTCCAATGTCAAGCACTTTGTTGTGTTTTTAATTCTCTTGTTATCTGTCTTATGTGGTAAACTAATCATAAATTCGATTGCAGGGCGCCGGAACTTCTTTTGGGAGCAAAGCAATATTCTACAGCAATTGACATGTGGTCCTTGGGCTGCATCATGGCTGAGCTATTATCAAAAGAACCGCTATTCAATGGGAAGACAGAGTTTGATCAGCTGGACAAGGTACATTCATTCTTGTGTAGCTTTTTTATTCTGTGGAATAATATTTGTATGAAGTAGTCAGTGTAATTACTTTATCCTGGGATGAAATTGCAGATATTTAAGATCCTGGGAACCCCAAATGAGACTATTTGGCCTGGGTATTCTAAACTCCCTGGTGTTAAGGTGAACTTCGTCAAGCATCAGTAAGTATCAATATCTTGTACATTCAATCCTTTTTCAATTTGATACGAAATTTATATTTTCTTGTTTTGGCCACTGTTTTCCCAGGCTTCCAGCTTTGGGTGATTCTGGTGTGGCTTTCAGGCCTCCATTGGTGATAGTTTCAGTTACTTGAATAAAATTCCATTGCTTCTGACTAGCTTACATTTATATCAGGTACAACCTATTGCGTAGGAAGTTTCCACCAACTTCTTTTACTGGATCGCCTGTGCTTTCTGATGCTGGGTTCGACCTCTTGAACAAGCTTCTAACTTATGACCCTCAAAAGGTATTAATACAAGTGAAGTCTGTTTCATTTTCTTTTTTCAGTAATTGATTATCCTGTTTTAGCCCTCAATAATGGATATGGTAACCCTGCAGCGGATAACTGCCAAAGAGGCTCTCAACCATGAATGGTTCCGCGAAGTTCCACTTCCCAAATCAAAGGAGTTTATGCCTACATTTCCAGCACATCATGCACAAGATAGGTATATGCATATCTTGATCTGAAGTTTTAGCACCAGATTCTGAAATTTATAATGCTGAAATTGTTTTTTTTCCCAAATGTAATTGAAGGCGAATGAGAAGAGTAATGAAGAGTCCTGACCCATTAGAAGAGCAGCGGGTCAAGGAGCTGCAGCAAGGAGAATTTGGCACTGGTGGTCTTTTTGGCCAGTAGTGTCTGAATTGGCTTCTTTGGATTCTGCAGTATCAAAGTCATGTAGCTGAGGTGAGAGCTATGGGCAGAAAGGCAAGAATTGTTTGTGAGAAAATCTCAAATTATGCTGTTTTTAGCAGGCATTTTTTGCTGAGCTAGGTGGCAAACATTTCCTGGCCTCGTACATGAATCAGACGCCGTGCGGGTTGAAATTTAGTTGGACTTCAGTGATATAAATAACCTGTCATTGACGTGTCTTGCCTGGAAAGGTGTGGCATAAGACACTTTAAGAATTTATTTCTGATTGATCTTGTGTATGTAACTATTTCATACTGGCCACTGTAAACGTTTTTTTTAATTGATTTTGAACGCTATGGTTTATTTTAGTGTTCGTAGTGTCATACATTTTAATCCTCATATTCTCTTTGCAAGAGATGGTGTGTAAAGCGGAGGGGAGATTCTTAGCTTTTCATAACCGAAGAATGTGGCAGAAGTGTAGCATCCAGGAGGTAAATATTAAATATAAATTTCGGGGTGTAAACCAAGGATTAAATAACTTGCTGTTGTCTGCTCACGTGGAATGCCTTCACTAATTTGGTTTTTGCCTTGTGGTTGTAAAATATTAGCTTCCCTATCACAGTAAAATGATTTCATATTTCTTTGTGTAACACATGGGTGTTCTTTAACAGAAATAATTGTCAATGTTTATAAGGAAAGGCTTCCTTTTATATGTTCCTCTAGTATGATACTTCATTTTTCTTTATACACATTATGTGATATTATACTACTGAATATGTTGGACCAACGTGCAATAGGAAACATTGATTTTGATAGTTTTCATCTGGTTTTGCCTAGTAATTCTTGAATGATATTATAATAAGCTGCCCTTTGCTTTTGTTTTGTTGCAGAGATTCATTTTCTAATTTTTGCTATGATTAAAGAGTAACAGTTTACTGACTTCTTTGTCCTCGTATGTTGATTTAATTTTCTTTGTCCTCCTATTTTGATTTATTTTATCGCGTTGAGGTGCAAGATTAGCGTATCCTTGACCAATCACCTGACTTTTTTCCATGTAGATCACATATTAACTTGGGGCTGTAATCATTTCTCTTTGAAATTAACAAGTACCACCTTGCTTTATCCATTACGTACGTTCCTCCAACTTGGAGTGCAGGATAGTCTTGTTGTTTCATACCCCTAATGTTGATACATTTGTGGGTTTGAACGTTAATGACATTAATCTGAAATGGCACTGCAGTACCCAAGCAAGCAGGTTGAGGGCCATGACCTGGCAATATTATAAATCAAATTATTTTCCGTTGAGATTTTCATATTTGTGCTCTGAAGTCCAAGAAAGGTACACAGCACCTTGTTATTTGTCTCCTGAACTTGCTGCCCCCTTTTTTTTCCTGGTACTTTCTATGGTCTATATATTTTTGGTATTTTCTCTGTCCAAGGCTTACAGTGCAGTCTGGAAGTGATAGTGAATACATGATGTTCGTCACTACTTTCCAGAAATTCCTGTTTTTCATTTAAAGGGTCTAAATGGTCTTTGTTAACTTCTGCTCTCTTTATCTTCCTTCTTTTTATGGCTTGCAAACAAAACATACTTAAATTGGGGATTGGAATTCAAAGTTTCTTGAAACCATTTGAATGTATTTGCTGGANCAAGTGCATTTAACCAGGCAACTAGAAACTATAACTGGGTTTAGTGTCTTTCCAACTGTTTTGGAGATAAATGTGTTGATTCTTGCCTATGAGGACTTGTGTCAATGCTCTCATCTAAGCATTCACCTGAGGTCATGTCTTTCTTTCACTATGCTGTCTGTTTTTTTCTGCCAACACAAACATGTTGCCGGGTGATGAGGTGGCGGGGAACAAGGATTGTTTGGAATTGGCCGCATAGTCATTGTCCATCGGTGAATTTGGTTCAGAAGTGATGAAATGTCTCGACAATTCGTGTGGAAAAATGAGACAGAAGTGTCGAGTCGCTTGGTACATTGAGCAGTTGGCACAATTAACCTCTCCATGTCACTTCACTACCATAACCGATCAAATTTGTCGATTTTAAAATATTAGACCTACATTGTATAATGTTTTTGTGGTTGAATAAAATTCAATATTCAAAAACCTTCTTTCTTGTTCTTTGTGTGTGTTGTGGGTTGGTTGAGCAGGTCATACATCGTCTGGTTGGTATATTGGATTGGTCCTTGAAATTTTAGACTAATTAATTTTAAGACATAATAAAATCAGAAAGTAGGGCCTCTCCCGAAGGTCAAGCTGCTACACCCTTGACTAATTATTAGAAATGGCGATCACCTAATGAAAGCCAATTTGATTGAAAAAACAGACGTCCTTTAAAAGAGGGAAAGCGATGCTCAAAAGAACCAAATGTAAGCGAATAAAAGCTTGTTCAAGTTTGTTCTTGTTCGATAAAAACTTGTTCGTTTGTTAATCGAGTGAGTTCAAATGAAAAATTAAGCTTGTTTAATAATCAGGAACACGAGATCATTTGCGAACATTAATTTAATTTGATTTAACTAATTTTTTTATATATTACATGATTTTTTAATAAAAAATTTAAATATAAAAATATATATATATATTTTTATTTTCAAGTTCGAACGATTTCGAATGAACAGATTTTGAATTCATCAAACATATTTAAAAAGTTTGTGTCCTAAAGTATTTGAACCCGACTTTTGACGAACAAAGAAATGAACGAGTGCAAACATAATTTTTTGCTTGAAAAATAAACGAACGAACAATTTTCGAACGTAAATGAACACAAACTTGAAACGCCTAAATCAGCTTGTTTAGTTCGATTAAAGCACTATCGATACGTACACTAGGGTATAAACGAAAGTGGAATGATTATTTGGCCAATGTGAAATTGATTATTTTGCCGTATAAAAAAAGTCGTCTCTACTATGGAGCCGACTGTTGGCTTTGTAATAAAAATTGAGAAACAATAATATGAAAATGTGATAAATTGACAGTGTAAACTATTCCACACAAATAGAATTGCTTGCACGCTGAAATGTACCCACCACCAGTACTGAGATCTTTCGATGAGCAAAAATTAAGACCGTGGGCACGTTTAAACGTGTCCGCCAGCCCAGCCATGTATTAAGATAAGATATGCTTTGATTGATATGTTAAAAGTGTTTCTGGCCAACCACATATTAAAATCTTTTGACGAGCATAAAGCATAAATTAACATTTAAATGTATCGCCAGCCACGTAATAAAGATCTTTCGATGTGTATAAACTAAAGACTAAATGATAACTCAGACTCATGGGTCATGGCCAGTGATCAACAATGGCTGATTTAAAAACTTGTAAGGGTCAGAACCAGCAAAATTTAAGCAGTGTAAATCTTTGAAAAGCAAATCAGGCGGATCAAAAGAGAGCCACAGAAAGTGAATCATATAATTATGCATTAATTCCAATAATTACAATCTCAAAAATTCAATATTTACTTTAGTCCGGCCAAAATAGCTACTTCANAAAAAAAAAAAAAAAAACCAGAGTGGCCGCTAACTTTAGTTCGATCGAAATAACTCACATTTTTTACAACACCTTGCTAAATAGCACAGCTACTGAACGAACGACTTCATAGCTGGGTCGTGAAAAAAATATTTGAAGTCACCATATCCAACGGCAAAAACCGATGCCAGCTAAGCGAAAAGAGAGGATATGTCTGAACATACTATGATGTTACAACAATAGTCTTTCCCAGCACGAAGGTGACCAAAGATAACTCGATGAAGAATATCGTGTTGATCAAGCCTCGGTCAACTGTCCACCCAAAAATCGTGATTCCTCCTGGATTTGCCTGCAAATACATCACTGAACACACAAGGATTATTACAATGCTTGCGTGTTAATCAATCCAAAAATTTTTTGTAAATATTTTCCGAGCGTAATTAGCTAAACATGCCCGGGAGAAGATGATGAAGCTGATACGGGTCAGTGGATAAATTGCCATAACTGCACGGGAATTGAAAAAACTTGTACATATTCGTCTTTTTCAAGAAAAAAAAAATCGAAAATATTATTAGTACCTAGAGCGAGTCTTTTGTGGTAAGAAGACATGTATGATGCGAGTTGTACATTTGTGGGCCCCGTCATCAAATCCAACGACTCCAAATCACTCTCTGAGTAGTCCACGTGAAATGCACTCAACCGGTTGGCGGCTTCTAAATTCCCGATGCTATTCGAAGTTCGCAATTGAGATGCATCGTTGGCGGTACAAGTCATTAAAGCATGCCATCTGCTTGCTAGTGCCCCAATGCCTTGGGCCCTGTGTGATATTTTTGCAGCTGCATTTAGGCAAAGGATTATAGCCACGACTTGAACGATTGTGGACACCTATGAATAGTTGAACAGAATGAAAAATGATAAAATATTAATCAAACAGGATGATAGTATAAAATTTAAGTGGGTCATTTGTTTTTCAAAATACTTATCGTTTAAAGGACTAATTTGCGAAGATAAGTTGAGATAAACTGTACGAACTACATCTTGAGGTTTGGCCTAATTATTGGGAAACCCAATTGGCAACCGAAAATTGAAAATTTGTACTGTTACGGTATTAAGAGTCACGAAAGATCCTCCAAAAGTTTGCACTTTCTTGATAAAATTTCCTTATTGAGGTTGCAGTTTGCAAACTAGAAACTAATTTCAAGGGATAATGCAATTCTGAAAAATACAAGGAGAATTTACATAAACTTGCTGAACCTTAAAAGGTACTTATTGTAATTAGCCCAATAAGAGAGTTGAAAGATTGTAAAGTAATGTTTAAGGCAACATTTTCGACACCAATTTTGAATTAGAGAAAAAGAAAAAAAGAAAAAGAAAATCTTTATAGCACCAATTTTGAAACTTACAGCAAAATCACCGCCATTGCTGATTGTAACCATTCCATTATACTCTGTGGTCTGTGATAAAGTCATGAACTGGCTTATGGTCACAATCACAAACTGTAGAAGAAGATATATTCTAAACCTGTGGCTTATTTTCGAGAGGTAAAAACGCAGGCGAGCATGCTCTTGTAATAGGGTTACCACATCTGGTTCTCTTTCCAGAAGCTTCCCATAGTCATCGAAATGGATAATTTGCAAGTTGCACACCACATAGAACAAAATGCACGATGACAAAATTATGGTTGTCACGTATGTCCAAGAAAGCACAAAAGCCAATGAAATAACGGCAGATTGCCACCATGTCCCGTGATGAACATAAGAAAACCGTACAATTTCACGTACGGTTTTCAAAAGGCAACAAGCTAGCACCCATAGTACTAATGTGCGCATGGATTCCTGCATAAATAAAGTGTTACATCACAAATAAAGTGAATAAATTGATGCATATATTATCAAAAATATGTTTCAAAAGAGCACAAATATGTTTCTTATGAAAATTTTGAAAATTTTTAAAACTTGAACACAAAATTTTGACAAGTTCAAGTTTTGAGCAAAAATATTGATATCAAATATGTTTCTTTTATTAAATAAGAGCACAAAATAAAGTGTTACAACGCAAATAAGGTAAAAAAGAGAGCCTGAAACAATGTTATATTCGTGTAATGCTATTTATAATGGATAGTTGGGGCATTACTCATTATTAGAGAATATCTTTTAACTCACATCCCTGTGTCACATTGCCTTATAATACAATGTTATCCAGACTATCATAACTCAAATATCAATTCGAACTTCACAAAGAACAGCATACTAACAAGAAAGGTCTTAAAGTGCTTTCAACTTAAGTCACGAGATTTCAACAAAACAATGCATTCATTCAATTGAATCAACTAACCAAGTAAAAGCAGCAGGCATATTGAAGCATGTTATATTTCGACTGGCCATGAAGCCGAATAAATCAAATGTATAAAAATAAGAACTAAGAAGTCAATTGAAGCATTACTCACAGAGATTTTCTGCACATATTGCCCACTGAACCTCTCCACATGTCCACTGTACCGATCGACAAACAGAAATTTCCTAACTCCATATTTCCTCAAATTATGAGAAAGGCATATCAAAGATGAAGCAGCCAAACAAGCCTGAGAAATCACTATACCAATCTCAAAACTCTTGATTTGGCCCTTTTCACACCCTGGACAGTCAGAGAACTCGAGCACCACCACCGGAAGCAAAACTCCAATCACCAAAAAAACCCCCCAAGATATCACAAAGCTCCATATCGAGGACTGGTTAAATCCCAAAAATGATAGGAAAAAATGCAAGCTTTGGAGGGTTTTATCCAAGTGGGTCTCTTTATCATCTTCTTGCTCATCTGGGCTGTTTGATTCATGGGCTGCGCCAGGACTTTTAATCAGAGGGGTGGTTTCATGTGGGGTTCTAGATTCTTCCACTTCTATTTGAATATGGACCTCGGCCATAGGCAAGAAAGGGGAAAAATCTGAACTTTGAAAAAAACCCCAAAAGCTGGCAAGGGAAAAACAAGACTCGAGCTTTTCACTTTATTAACCAAGATGAAAATGAAGAGATGGCGATCCAACATAAATTACAAACACAGAAGTTAAATATTTTAGGATCTGATTCATGAGGACATATTAAAGGAGACTCTTGCAAAACGTGATCTAAAGAATTTTCATAAAATATTTGATAAATATCTGGATATTTCCAATTATTGCTGTCCCGTAGTAATTTCAATGGGCAGAAGCTCTAATTTCATGTAAGAAAAAACAGGACAAAGAAAAGAATAGCAAAAAAACGAAAAACAAATCATTGATGTTAAACTGTACTTGCAGCTATTATTATATTATAATGCTAGCAAATAGGGCAGCTTTCCAGTAACATAAGGAAAATTAATGGTTTATGTGACATAGATAAAGGGTAGCTTTCCATGGCCCGAGTGTAAACTTTCAAGAGTATCACGCAAGAACAGGTGAGAGAGAAAAGAAAAAGGAAAATGAAAATGGACTGCTCAACTGTAAATGATATGCTCCTTTAGGTGGAATCCAAGTGTTGCTTATTTACACTGTTTTTGCTCTGCACCTCTTAGTGCAAACCTCTCTCAAGTCATGAGATTTGTGTGAAATTTTGGTTTGACATAGTTGGGCATGACCTTTTCTTTTTTAAAGTCGGGATGAGCAGCTGTTTTATTAATATTAATGACTCGAGCCAAACTCGAGACCATAACTATAGAAAATTATTTAAAGTTTTTATTTTTGAGCTTTAGATACATGATCGAACACGAGTAGAACATTTAAATGTCTGGACAAATCATTTGAATGAAACGTTTCTACATTTGGCGTTTGATTGCGCTTTCTGGAATATTTCTTGGTGTGCCTCGTATATATATATATATATTATATTATAGATAAGATAGGTCCACCCTAATAGTATTCACACTCTTGAGATTAAGTTTGCCTTTTTAGAACTTTTGATTCATAACACACGACTCCCAAATGGGAGTTATTGTTTATAAAGACTTTGGGATTGTTTGTCTTTTGAAACTTGACCCACATAACACTTAAAGTGTATTTAGCGAACTGTGTTCATCAGTGTGGAAAAGATGATAATGATGAAAAGGGTCTTAAATATCAATCAATGTAAATACCTTTTCTTATATACTCATTACTTCACTTGTTTTCTCAAACACAACATAAACTAACGATTGAATGAGAAAAAAGAGTTGCCATAAAGCTTTTGTGACTGTAAACAAAAATTCTAATAAAGATCTTTGGACAGTCACGGGAAGATTGTAGTTTGTAACGTTACGTAGAAAAACGCCAGGCAACATTTCAAATTCATTGCAAAAAAAATCTTGCAGCATTCAAATGCCATTACATATGTAATACCATACGAAGAAAGAACAAAACTTCAAGATTCAGTTGAAAGGTGTCCTAAAATAACCTAAAGGCCGGATTTTTATCGCCAAAATCAAAAACTCTTTCCCCAATAGGTCCACTTCTTAGCAGGCTTTCCAGATGCAAAGCACAACGTACCTGAATTCGAAAAATATGTGAAATGAAATGAATGTATAAACGTATATCAATTACCAATAAGTATCGAGTCATATGTAATGCATTTTAGCTAAGATTGTTGTGTTGCCTTCTGATGGAAGTATATTCAGACAGACATTAAATTATTTTGGATCATTTTGTGAAGCCAAAAATTTGGTAAGTTTCAACTTTAAACAAAACAAATATATATTCGAGCATCATTAACCAATTCCTTATCAATTTTGATCGATTTCAATTTGAACAAAAAAATGAAAGAAATTCCATTCTAACAAATATGGAAAACAAAAATAAGAGAAGCAATTAGTACTAAATTGATTGAAAACTGGAGTTCTTCTATTCTATTTTTATTTTTTAGATAAAAAATTAAATTATACGAATTACTCTTTTAAAGATTGCTTATTGACGAGCGATAGCAAAAGCGTACCCTCTGGAATCGGAGGCTGATCGAGTGGAGAACACAACGACTTTGCATCACCTTTGGTGCGAGTTGCCACGTCATTTTCGACCTCCTGAGATATATCATTTTCAAATATCATCGCTATAAATTTTAAATCAGGACAAAATGGACAAATTGCAGAAAATTTTCGAAGTACTATGAAATTATGGACTTATGAAAATCAGAGGAGAAAAAAAGAAAAAAAAATGACCATAATTACCTCCTCGTCACACCAAGGAGCGAAAACCATCTTTTTCTGGTTAAGCGCTTCATAAAATTCTTCCCAGCTATAAACGACTCGAATGCATGAATCCCGCTTTTGTTTTGCAACTTCAAAGAGATTTTGTTGGATATGATCGAGCAAGTTTCTAACTTCCACAACCAAATTTGCCAGAGGAATATCAATTTCTTCAAAATTATCACGTCTAACCGCACGAACCTGGACAAGTAGAGAATTTGATAAAAGCCAAATTGGTATGGGGGGAAAAAAATGGTTCTCTATCTTCTTATGTTTGTACCTTCTTATTTGCCAAGTCTTCAGGTCCTATTCCTATCCTGAGAGGCACTCCTTTTAACTCCCAATGAGAGTTTTTGCATTCGTACGAATAATTATCTCTAAGATCAACATCAGCACGAATACCGGCCTCACTCAGATTTTTTACAGTTTTTTCACATTCGTGAAAGATGGCCTGGAAATTCGTACTGAAAGAGGACACATTAGGGATAATAATTGCTTGAAGGGAAGCCACTTTAGGAGGGAGAACCAAGCCTTTATCATCACCATGAACCATTACCATCAGCCCTAACTGCCACAAAAATCATTTTTTTTTTTTTTAGTTTCTAAGTTCTCGATGAGATTAATTAAAAAAAAGTCACTAATTAAAAACAATGGACTCATGTATGTTTGCATTGACCAATAGTTAAAAATAAATAAATATAAGAGAATTGGAAAAAATGAGAAGTCCATTAACTGTTCTGGTTGTGTAAGCCCATGAATTCTGCCAGACATTGACACTTTCGCCCTTCTCGTTCTCGAAATTTATCTCAAATGTTCTTGCAAAATGTTGGCCCAGACAGTTTGAAGTTGCACCTTGCAATCCATGTCCAGAGTCAGGGATAAAAGCCTGTTGTCATTATGGAAAGGTAACTGTTTGGAAATATAGTAAAGAAGTCTACTTAATGGTTTCATAATAGAATTATTATGTCAAGAGTGAAAAATATCAAATTATCAAATTGTTTCCACCTCAACAGTATTTGTATAGAGTGAACCAGCAAACTTGTGATTTTCGGTTTTCTTGCCCTTAATAACAGGAACAGCCAAGAACTCTTCGTATATGCGTCTATATAGTTCTAAGATGTCAAGCACCTGAAAGAAGAAGAAGAAGAAGAAGAAGAAGAAGAAGAAGAAGAAGCACAAGATAGCATAATATTATTCAATGGAAATTATGCCTCGCTTGAAGAACTTCAAAATATGTCAATTAAAATATAAGAAATAATAAGGGAATATATTTAACAGAATTTAAAATTTTTCACCTCATGACTCAATAGTGGAATCATACCAAAAGGGGGGATAACTTAATTTGTAGGAACTCAAATCAGCTAAGCAACACAATATTCAAAATTGCAACATAATTTACATAAAATCCAAAGCAATTTTGAGGTTGCCCAATACAATCAATCATTGCATGGTCATGTTGAGGGGATAATTTCTGACAGACTAAGGAATGCTCGAATTACATTTTTGTTCCATTAATTTTCACGACTATTGGTCTCAGCAAAAATCATTATGATAGTGCATTTTCATAAGCTAGCAAGAACTTTACCTCGTTATCTGCTTCCTCTTTGGTTGCAAAAGCTGTATGTCCTTCCTGCCACAGAAACTCACAACTCCTAAAGAATAGTAAAATTATCAGAAGGTAAATTGAAGGGAAGATTTTCTCTCTCATATATCAAGACCGGAGTAGGGAAAACAAATTTGCCGACATGAAGCACAAGAACATAAGATTCTGCATTTTCATAACTTGATAAACCAAAGCAGGTTACCCCAGAATCTAATAATAGCAAATGTGCCGAAAAACTAAACACAACAATTCCACTTTGAAAGAACCTGAGAAACGGGGTTGGTTTTCTGGATTCCCATCTGACAACATTACACCACTGATTAAATCGCAAAGGTAAGTCACGGTGGCCCCTAATCCACTTGGAAAAATATGGATACATGACACTTTCACTAGTCGGGCGAATGGCAATGGGCAGCTTTAGTTCAGATTCTCCAGACCTTGTAACCCATGCAACCTAAAAAACAATTGAATACTAGTACTAATTAATTTGTGAATGTCACTCTTGAGAAACACATACAAAAAGTCAATAATAAGGACAAAGTAGACAAGATATAACTCATACAACTAAGTTAACTAAGTTGATTGGTGATTACTGCACGTGTTTGCAAAATATGTAGAAAAGAAAAGTACGCTCACCTCAGAAGCAAATCCCTTTATATGATCTTTCTCCTTTTGTAGGAAATCAGCAGGCACGAGGAGAGGAAAGTAGCAGTTCTTAATTTTCATTTTCTTGATTTCGGCATCAAAAAACTCCTACAGTGAATTTCGAGTGAGACACATTATAACAAGTTTCACGAGGCACAGAAAACCACGGTCCATCACTCTAGCATTTTCTTCATTAAAGTTTTTAAGATGAATCGGAAATAAATTATGTACACAAGGCAAGGTACATTACTTCTATGCAATTGTTAAGCAATGATTAGAAAACTATAATGCATCAAAAGGGCAGCAAAAGGCAGAGCAAGAATAAACACACTAAAACTTTTCCGAAGTTGCAGTTCAAGATAAATTCACCCGAGTGCGAGATATTATTTGCAACCTCCTTATGAGACAGAAAAGTTCACACTGAGTCATAACAGTTGGCAATTTTTATTTTTATTTTTCCAAAGAAGAATTTACAGCCATTAACTACTTCATCCCACCCTTCAGATAAAGAGCTTCTGGCCCATAAAGCCTACTCAATCAATAAGCCAAAATACAAAGTTTTCTCCACTTCAATTTACAGTATTTACGTATAACTTACTTTCATGATCTCCCAAATCGAGATTGCCCACGGTCTAATGACATAGCAGCCAGGTATGTCATAATACTCAATCATCTCTCCATTTACAACAACCTGCACACAACTCAAAGCAATAAAATTGAAGATTCACCGGATAACTTTGGCTTGAATCAAAAAATTATAACAAAGCCAATTAACAATCATATCAATCGATTGAAAAAAAAAACATTGTTTATTCAGTCATCAAGACATGTATAACACAGTAGACAATCAAAGAACAGATAAAAATAAAAGCACCCATGAGTTTACCTCGGAGTACCATTCCTCAAAATTCTCATCTTTCCTGAAAGAGAGACTGATATTGGGCTCATTCAAAGCTTCCTCCTTTTTTCCATTTGATTGAGTACCCATTAACTCGTACTACAAAATCCTTAAAAAAAAAGTCCCTAAATTCACGAGAAAAGCAATATACTTAAAATATGACGATGGAAAAACAAGGAGGAGAAGTCCATAAGAGAAAGTGAGTTGCATGGACAAACCAACCTTCGGCTTTGAATCCTTATAAGACAGCTTTTGCGCAAGAGAAAGTGCGTACTTTATCAATGGCGATGTAAAACTGCGATCTTTGGAGGTTTCCTCACGTAAAAAGAAAAAGCAAAAAGTAGGAAGAAAGGAAGAGAGAAGGTGAGGTGACGGGGCCTAGCGAGAGATTTGAAGTTCGGAGGTTTTTTGTGATTTGAGTGAAAATTTTGGTTCACAATTTCACATAGTATGTCTCATAAGGAGTTGCTTCTGGCTAATACATAAATGCACTCGAAACAAAAATATTAAATGAGTTATTTTCACTGACTCGATCCGTTTAAGTCTAAAAATTAATAAGATTATCATCTATTTTCCATCTTATAATCTATTTTTTGTCTCTCGCTATATTAAAAAAAAGGCTTTCAATTATATTTTATACTTTATTATTATTATTTATAATTAATCATGTTTAATTATAAATATTTATGAAATTAGTATTTAGTCAAATAAATAATTATAAGTATTTTAAAAGTGATGAATCACCAGTTCTAATTAATCAAAATACATAAAGAAAATTGTATAACATAAGGGAAAATTCCAACAAAAAGGGATCAATTGAAAGTTTTATGAGATAAAACAAATCTATACTTACCTTTGACTTTTCCAGCAAAGGTAAAAAAACTGGTTCTGATTTTTATTCCATAACAAATCTTTACTGTAAAAAATATAAATACCAAAACAAATCTGTAATTAATTCCATTCTATTTCTAGCAAGCATTCATTACCTTTAACTTTTCTGCCTACTATTTCTTGTAAATAGGATGACTTTTTATATGAGTATAGATTTTTCTGATTTTGAGGATTTATATGTCTTTCTTTTTGTTCATTCAAATTTATATATAATATTTTTATATAATGTTTATAATTAGAAACAAAATCGGATAATTAAGCTGATTTGAGATTTTTATTAGAAATATTTAAATTTAAATTGATTAGTATAATGAGATTTAAATAAATAAAACGAAAAGTAATCTGATTGTTTAAAGTAAGTAAAATCGTATTCTCTGATATGCAAGACAATAATAATTTAGTTGTAGTTCTTAAATGAATAAAAAGCTCAATAATAATTTAGTTGTAGTTCTTAAATGAATAAAAAGCTTACATATCCGATAGAGATAGATTTAGGGCCGATTTTTTCTATTTCAACGAAATATGGCCGATTTTCTTTCTAAACTGGCCGAATTCACACAGTTCAAATTATAGATTTTTTTGCCAAAAAGATTACTCAATATACATGGGCGGGAATTTTTAAAATTTGGCCAAAATATTACTCAATATAGTAAATATTTAGGAAGGAAACAAAATGTTTTTTTTACTGATTTTTTAGTTAATTTTTTCAAACAAATATCATTCCCTCTTTATATATTAATAGATTCTATTTTTTTTTTAAAAAAAAAGTTAATGGGTTCGTTTAGATGTTAGAGTTTGATGTAAAATTAACGGATTGAACTTATTTTAGAGGTATGGTCGTCAAATTCGTTAACTAACTTATTTAGTTAAGTGCTTATTTAGTTAGTTTTTTTGGTCTAAAATACTAATTCTAGACATAACCTTTTCAACAACATAACGTTTTCAAAGTAATTCAAAAGCTCTTTTTACAAACATAACGTTGTCAGAATAACTAAAGGGATATAAGCCTTTTAGAATAGAGAATTATAATTTTAACTATTAATTATTTAAACCCATCCGTTTAGTGACAAAGAAACCTTTGTCTCTTGAACAAATTGGTTTCCATTAAGGAACTAAAACTCGCAAAGGGCAATTTATGTCTTATTTGACCAAAAATAAAATAAAATAAAATTAAAATAAAAATAAATAAAAAAATCGCGTGCTTGGCAACACATGGGAAAGTTTATATGATTAGTGTACTTAATCATGTAAATTATACAGCCCTGGCAACCAAAATCCTCTTGATAGTACAGTAATAGCATCTGAAAACCAAACTCATCCTTGCTACATCTATATAACTAAAAAACAAAATTTGAGTCAATTAATAGTCTTTAAGAGTAAAGAGTTCTTTTTACACTCGGCCTATTTTCCATTGTTTTGCACAAAGACAATCATTTTTCAATTCCCCAGCCTCATGGTTCTTTAGCAGTACTCACAAGACAATAATTTTCAATTTTCCCAGTTCGTATATTTCGTTATCTGCCGCTTTTGCGAGCAAGAAACCGTTCACGGGCCGCAAGAATTCTACTCTCTCGGTCATCAACAGACGGTTGAGTAGCTTTAACATCATCCTTCTGTATCTTCAAATCTCCTGTTTGATTGTTTTCGCTCATCGATTTATTGGTGGTCCCACTGTTTTTTTTTTACCCAAAAAATAAAATAGAGGCTCAAGCAAAAGCAATGATGATTTTGAGACGCTGCAAAAGTGTGAAGATTTTCTCAGCTGTACCTTAACTTAGGAATGTTAAGTTTGTCGAGCTTGGCTAAAACGGGCTGCACCCAACGCATCTCAACGGCACACACATTGCGCATGTAGGGTCGAGTAGTGGCAATGAGTTCGTGATATACAACGTAATTCGGGAGCATGCCATCTTCGTCTGGTTTTAGCACGGACGATGGATGCACCTATAACAATAAAGATTTTGACAGTGATTTAATTTTAATCAGCATAAATAAAACCCAAAAAATAAAAAATAAATAAAAGTTTCAGATACCAGTTAAACTGTCTAAGAGATAATTTATTATTAGGTAAAACTAATGATGTCACGGGACGTGTATAATATCTTTGAGGCATGTATGATTTCGAGAAGTGATTGGGATTTGTGGTATTTAAGAGACAGTTCAAGGATTAGCATTGATTTTTCCATTCCCTTTTTTCTGTACTTTATTTTCGTGGAGTGGTACTTATTTTGAAACACAAAATCAAGGAGCGAAATTTTCAACTAAAGAAGAGAACTCCATACTAAATTATCTACCTGAACTAACTGCGACTTAAAACCAACGGTCCGGTAACCATTGTGACGAATCATTCTCTCTGCAAGTTGATTTGCATATCCCGAACACAGGGCTTTTCTCAAAGCTCTGTATTCTTGGCCTTCTTTCTGCCTTTTACTTGTTTTCACGTCCATGGATACTTTTAACAATGGAAAGGGAAAAAAAAAAAAGAGAAATTAAATATGATGCCAAATCTAGAAACAAGTTAGTATATTACAATGATTCTTTTACGGAAAAAAAAGATAGAGAAAAGTTGTGGACAAAAAAGAAACAAATAAATAAGGGGTGGACAATAATAGAAAGGCCGTATTTAGTGAATACGGTTTTTAAATTTTTTATTTGTAAAACGTATTCCATGAATACGGTTTCCTTTGTAAAAAAAATGTAAAAAACGTATTTAAGGAATACGTTTTTTAATTAAATTACACAGAAAACGTATTCACTAAATACGTGCTTTCTATTTTGGTCCACTCCCCCTTTTTTTTTTTGTTTTTTGTCCACTTATTATTTTTTTATAAATAAATATATAAACTACCCATATTACAATCAGTTATTACATTTTAATCAAAACACTGACCTTTGGCAATTTTCTGCATTATTTGGCATAACTGTTTCCTAACATCTTTGACAAACATCATCCCCCTTACCTATTGATCAGCAAGTTCAAAAATCAATGATCTATGGAACTTTCAACAACACTAGTACGAATCCCGTCCGATGCACGGGTAATAGATATTTATTAATTCATAAATTAAAACTTCTCGTTAAATAATATTTATAAATTAAAAATATGAAATGAATATGTAATACAATTTATCTATATTAATTTATTGAAAATATTATTTAAAATTTAAATTGTGCAAAATTACATAAATCGTGTCTATTTTAGCACACAACCCGTACGATGCACGTAACTGATAATAGATTACATTGATAGAATTTGAATTTAACCTTGTGCGAAATACATCGCTTAATCCCAAAAACGTTCAATCATACTCAAATAGCGGAAGCGTACCTGATGGATTCATATTGATTGATTGCACTGAAATTGAATAGGGATTTTGGATTTTCGATATGGAGTTCTTCCAAAAAGTCGTGAACCCGAGAATTCTTCTCTTCTTATGTACGAAGATAAAAAACTGATAAACTTATTAAAGTAGTGGGGTACAGTTTTATTCTTCTTATAACTTAATGAAGAATTCCAAAAGACCTCCGTATTTATCACGACTTTTAGGGACTCCATCCATAAATAATTTTGACCTAAATTATTTGTTAATTAGGTCCTTTAGTTTAGTATTATTTTTTGTTACGTCACCAAATAATAACATTACCGGTTGTCCACATTTAATCATTCCACAATCTAAATTAAGTTTCTTAGGCAATATTTTTGTACAATAATTTGATCACTTAATTTGGCTAAACATCATCATGACCCAATGTATCAATTACACATATTTAATCCCAAAATAGATATAACATATATTCATTTCAAAATAAGTATCCATTAAAATTTTTATTCAGAAATTCAATTTGACTACAATGTTATTCCATAAAATAAATAGTTTAGTAAAAAGTTATCATATATTTAAAAATATATAAATAATAAGTATAATTATAAAATTTATATTGTTTTATTAATTAAAATAAATTTATTTTTGTATAAACTATCCAAATCAAAAAAATTAAGCAGTTGAGTAATTAATTAAACTATAAATAATTGACTATACCATTTATGTCCAAATTAATATTGACCCATAAGTTATGAATAATTAATTATTTGACTTTTAAGTTTGGAACTCAAATTTGGAATACACAATAAATTCCCTTATATATTTTATATTTATAATATATATACATATATATATATAATCACACAAATTCCTAGATTTGTTGTCGTTTACTTTATCATTCAAATTTTAACTATTTCTCTAGAATTAATTACAAATATTAAATTTTATTTACCAATATTTGTTCAAAAATCTTTTTGAATTTCAAGAGGAATACATATCAATTTGCCAAATTATTATCAATATCTTATGGCAAATTATTGTGGGAATAAAATAAAATTTGAGAGTCATATCACCCTGATTTCATAACAAATCAACCTAAACTTCAATTTTCATACCCATACCAAATAAAATTCATACCACTTTTTTTGTTTTCAAAATTTTCAAAAATACTTCTATCCATATGAAATAAAATTCATACCATTTAATTTTAAATATTTCATATCAAAATAAAATCTCCCACTTTATACCATAAAATCGGACATTTATTAATAACACCAAATTTTCTACCAAAAATAAAAATGTCAATCAGATATCTAAAATAAAATCGTCCATTTCATACTAAAACTGGATTTATTAATTTTTCCAACTTTACCATAAATTGATTAATTAGTTTCTAGTGGTGGGATTTTTGTGAAAAGTTTTAAAAAAAACTACCAAATTTAGTAATTTTAACTTTTTACGCGAGATTTTAGTTTTTATTTCAACTAAATACATACATTTATATATAGAGAGTGAGTTTTGTATCTATATATATAATATTTCAAGTAAATTCAAACCTTTTTAATGATAATCCACATGCATTAGATCGTGGACGAAAATTGAATACTATAATAATATTATTTAGTATTTTTTTCATATTTTTGTTATTTTTTTATAATTTATAAAATTCCTATTATACTTGATGTATATTTGTATTCAATCATTTTTAAAATAAATATTATGTCAGGATTATGATGGCTAGAGTATTTATATTATGCACATCTAATTATTTTTTTGTTTTCTCTCTACTTTATTAATATCCTATAAAATAATTTTTTTTTCTTAAATAAAAAGTGTTAAATTTTGAAAATTGTGATAAGTATTCTAATTAAAAAAAATCAAATTGCAAATAAAACTAATCTCTGATATTATATTTAATTTAAAATGGAAGCAGTACATATTATTTAAATGTTAAAAAGTTTCATCTTTATGGGTAATTGTTAAATTACTAATTGTTTTATTATTTTAGGAGGTAGAAGAAACCCCCTTTCCGGTGTTGAGTTCATGTAGGTTTGGAGGTTGTTCGAAGTAGAATAAAGTCCATCCAGTTGTGTTAGCTCGAATCAAGACCGAGCGAGGTCCATTTCACTATTATAATTAATAACAATATATATCATGAATATACTATCTTTTTTCCCCTTTTCAGACAATAATTCACATGGTTATTCGATAAACGACTCCTTCCAAATCTATGTATACTTGTTGGTTGATATTTCTTTAGAATGTTCTATATGTTGTGAATATTTATCTAGTAAACATTTAAATTCTATTTTATGAGATTCTTTTACGCTACTAAAAAATTGATATATTCAAACGAAAAATCTAATGGTAATATTTTTCAATGGAATTTCTAACTGATATTCCAATAGTATAGCTTACATTGAAATGATTACAACGAAAATTTGAGTGATAATATTCCATTTACATTTTTGAAGGAATTTGATTGTTTCAACGACTATTTTTCTATCGGTTTATTATTGTATGAATTTCTTTTAGAATATGCAATTTCGTTGAAATTTTTATTTTCACCCAGTTGGAATTGTCATAATCTAATGGATTACTCATCCTAATAGAATATTTTTGCTGGAATTTTTGTTATGACCAATTGAAAAATTCTAACGGTAATAATAATATTGGAATATCCATTGACATTGTTATTTGAATTCTATAGGAATATATATTCGCTGAAATTTCATCATTTCTTGTACGGTCGTTATTTTTAAATCAATATTAATGGTCATAAGCTTAAGTTTTATTACACGGTTACAATAATTATTTATTTACTATTTTATATATATAATATGAATGTCATATAGTAGATATAAAAAAAATGATCAATACAGTACATTATATATAAACAACAAAGAAATATTAAACTATTAAGTCTTCAAAATGGATTTCAAATAAAAAAAAACAGATAATTCAAAAAAATTGAAAGCTATATGCATACGGAAATGCAAATCCCAATTAGGCAAAATTGTACATATGATTTATTTCCACTTATTCATTGCAAATCCCATTAGCCAAGATAGAATGTATCCAAAAAAATCTTTGTGTGATTGCTTTCTTTAAATATTTTGATTTAATTTATTTTCAAAAATTTTCAAAACACATTTAGGCGGGATATTTTGAATTTTTTTAAAAAAAAAAATTACTCATTTTAGTAATTCTGAAATTTTAGGCGGGATTTTAGTTTCTATTTCAGGTAAATGTCAAACCTTTTTATATTTATATAGATATAGATATAGATTTCCATTAAGAGTTGAATATTTCAGAGGGCTCAAACTTCAAGACTTATATTACAGGTATGCAACGTGCAAAAAAAAAAAGAGTTAAAAAATAAATAAAAAAGGGTACCTGCAAGTTGTTTTCTTTGCACCAGTCTACATTGTAGTCAGTTTGATGCCAAAGCTCAAAAATCTGTAGCAACTGAATGTGGTCACCCAATCCAGAACCATCGGGAAGGTTAGATGGAGGAGTGTGCTTCCGCTTCTTATCATGACTGCTCTTACTGCAATAACCAATTGAACACCTTTAAGAACATGCATAATACAAACATGCATGAATTTGACGAGTTAGAAACTTACCTATGACCTAAAAGCAGATTGGTTTCAGCAGATAACATGGCAGCAACCGTTAAAGCTTGAGACAAACAGCCACATTCGTTTGCCTCTAACAAGGTCCTTGACAGTGAAGGTTCTAGTGGAAGCTCTGCACAATAAATGTGAACCTCAGCCAATAAATTGTGAAAAATATTAAATGATAATTTGTAATGACCACAAGCGCCAGCTGTAAAGGATTATGACTTTTTTCTATAAGTTTAAGTTTCTATTTTAGCTCATTTCAGGAAAATGCTTGTGAGAATACACTACCAGCCATGGTTCGTCCAAGTCTTGTGATAGAACCATCTTCCTTTATGGCATCAATGAGATATAACTGCTTTAAAGCATCTTCCAAAGCCTCAGCTGCAGCAAAAGAAAATACACAAGGCCTCACCATTCACACGTTTTTACAGAAAAAGTAAACCCTAAGCAAAAACACATAAACATTAAATGGAAGAAATGTGCCATAAGAAAATGAAGTTGAGGTAAAAAGAAAGATTAAAGAAAATTGAATTCTTACAGGAAGGAGGGTCGAGGAAGTCAAATTTGAGAATGTCTATGTCGGGTAGATCTAAGGATTTTAAATAGAGGACACTTCCTGCTAAGGAAGATCTCTGTATTTCAGGTACAGTGGCATCCAAAAAATCATCTTTGTAAACCACAGAAGGGTACAGACGGTAGCACTTTCCGGGACGTGTTCTTCCAGCTCTTCCTGCACGCTGATTAGCCTGCACTCTGGGTCCCACTTGTTGTCAGATAATAGACAAAATAATGAGACACGTAATAGTTTGCGATATTGAAGAAAAAAAGAAAAAAAAAATCTCATACTTGCTAATTTGGACAACATCGAGAGAATACATTCCAGTTGAAGGGTTGTATTGTCGTTGCTTCACAAATCCAGAATCAATTACGTACCTGCAGCCAAAACAGAATGATTTCCAGAAATCCACCCACAAAGATTCTTAATTCGAAATCAAATTGATATAAACTTATTTTTGGCTTATAAAGTTAAATCATAAAGAAATAAAGGAGCATCAAATATCTTACACAACACCATCGACAGTCAACGATGTCTCAGCTATGTTTGTAGAAACAATAAATCGACGACAATTTGGAGGTGGAGGGCTGAACACACGGACCTGCATATGCTCTAGTATAAGTATACAATAGTGACCAAGAATAAGAAAGACGAATGAAAAAATCAATTGTTCCCTTTATACGACTGATGCTTACTAGAGAACTGAAACAAAAAAGTCAGGACTACGTAACACGAGTAAAAAGCTACCGGGGAGTAACAAAATGCAAGATAAAATAAACATATGTTGAAGAATACTAACTAGTGCCAGTTCCGAGATGATTAGATTAAATCAACAAAATGTAGCAACCAATTAAAATATAGACTAACCTGCAATTCAGGAGGCAAAGATCCATGGAGTGGAAGAATGATGGCATCCATACAAGAACCTTCTTCCAGGGTTTGGATTCTCTCTTCCAATTTCGACACCAACTTTTCTATATCATCCTACAGTGTAATTTCATCAATAACTATATAAAAATTTGCATGCGTGCTGATAAATAGATATACAACTGTAAAGCATCATGACTTAACAGAAGACAAGAAAAAAAAAATACATACCTGTCCTGTCATGAAAATTAGGACATCACCTTCAGGTTCCCCAACGTGTATGTCTGCAGAGGATTCATGAATCATCAAACACAAGAGTCCACACTAAACGAAATAGCAGAAGACATGAGAGTTGCTGAACTGAAAAGACCAGAATACATGACGCATATGATACAAAATGAAAGTTGCCTAATACCAATAGCTGTTTTCAAAGAAGCTTCAATATAACTTTTGGGCCTTTCTGAGCTGTGCTGTATCTCAACAGGGAACAACTTTCCTGGGACATTAAGGATTGGGCAGTTGGAGAAGAATCTGGATACTTTTTCACCATCAAGAGTAGCAGACGTTATCAAAATTTTCAAATTGGAAGCTCGGAACTTGATCAATCGTTTCATCAATCCAAGCAGTATATCCCTGACAATACATATTTCCACACATTCAACAGACATGCTTTACCAAAGAAAATGGGGAAGATTGCATGGGCAAAATAATAACGGAAAACAACACTTCAGCCCCCTACATTTAAGACCCCACACACACACAAGGTGAATTTTGAGCACTATGCCACTGAACTTATAATATGTATGTCAATCACAATGATGATTTTACGCTCCTTTGCTTGGTGTAGCCCAATATAATAATTACTAAAAATTTTACATAATTTAAAAGTGAAGCAAATATAATAATGAAACTTACGTGTTTAAGCTCCTCTCATGTGCTTCATCCAGTATAATGACCGAGTATTGATTCAGCTCCGGATTGGAAAGACTCTCACGAAGCAGCACACCATCCGTGAGATACCTACGCATCCAATAGCAACAAGTTAATACAGGCAATGCAGTTCAACACAAATTATCAGTACCAAGATAATAAACTTCAATACTTTTGACAAAGTCAAGTTACTTAATCAGCGTCTTCTCTGAAGTCCTGTCTTCAAAGCGTATTGCATAACCCACTTCTTCCCCAAGCTTCACATCAAGCTCTTGCGCAACCCGCCTAATTATTCCGACGGGAGTGAAAACAGATAAGGATACATGACATAAAACAACACACGCAAACACAGTAATCTACAGCTGTCAAAAGCTCTGCTCCTTCTCGAAAAAAGGTTAAACAAAAAAAAATCCCGTCAACTAAAGTAAAATCACCATACATGTTCCCAGTTAATTTTCTTGTGTTAGCTGGTTAAGCTTCAGCAAGAAACCTATAGATACAAATGCAGCAACAAATCACGTATAGTAACCTATTGAGCTAGCGAGCAGCGCTTACCGGGATACTGAAACCGCGGCGACCCGACGCGGCTGAGTAACGGCAATGCAACCGGATTTTGTGTAACTTCTTCTGTGAAGTATTTGGGAGAGCTGCGTGCTTTTTCCAGAGCCAGTTTCTCCAATTACCACAACGATGGAGTTTTTCTCCACTGTCTCAGCAATTTTCTCCTCAAATTGAAGTATAGGCAACTGCGCCATGTCGAGAGAATTGCCCAAGGTTCTGGTTGCTCGGCCAATTCGAATTGGAGTGATTTATTTTTGCTATGCTAGGGCTCAAGGGAATTTGGGGGAAATTTGAAAACTCATTCTCATAGGAAGGAAAAGTCTTCAAGTAAATAATTTTATTTTGGAGCTCAACGAACGATCTCGAACATTAGTTTTTATTCCATTAATAAATGAACGACAACAACATAGTTCAAGCATAAAACACGAACTTTTAGTTCGATTACAACATGATTCAAATATGTAATTTAGTTTAGTTTATAGTGAAAACATCTTCAAATAAATAATTTTATTTTTGAGCTCAATGAATGATCTTGAACATTAAGTTTTTATTCCATTAACAAATGAACGGCCACAATATAGTTCGAACACAAAACACGAACTCAAAACGTTCTCATAATGCTCGTTTAGTTCGATTACAACATGACTCAAAATGTAGTTTAGTTTAGTTTACAGTGAAGATATAACATAAAATACTTGAAGTAGTAGTTCATCACGATCAACCAATGCTTCTTAGCTTAGGTCCCAATTCCTACAAAACATGAGATTTCTTGTTGTACTTTATGTGCATTGCCTGTTTATAGTAATATGCACAACATCATGTTTGAAACTACACACACAAATTCAAACATCCTTTTGCAACATCCAAACAAAACCAAATATACCATTTTTTNACCGGAATCCCGGGCTCGGGCCCACCTCCGCCCACCGGCACACCACCTTCCTCCTCCCCGACCTCCCCCAAGCCAGCACCCCCGAGCCTCCCACCATCCTCAACACCTTCCCGTGCGGCCGCCCTTTCCCTTCCCTCGTGTGCTTCCTCACGCGGGCCCCACAAAGAACCAACTCCCGAGCCGCCTCGTCGAGTAGCGCGCCCTCCGCCTTTCCCTTTCCTCCGGCGGCTATCGAGAGTGCCGTCTCGTTTCTCGAGTTGCGGACTTCGAGCCGCGCGCCAGACGAGATCAAAAGCTCGCACATTTCCCGGTCGTCGGATTTCGCCGCGAGCATGAGCGGCGTGTAGCCGTCGCAGTCGAAAATGTTGACGTCGTGGCCTTTACCTACCATTGAGAAGAATTATGCTACTTTGACATTTTTTTTATTATTGATTTAAAAGTTGATGTGATGTGTAAAATCATGATATCTTGTCACTGTTTATTATGTCAAACTTTATGTTATGTTTCTGTAGCACAATGCTACTTTCACACAATTTATTTAACATAATCTTTGACATAAATGGCGTGTAAGGATAAGACTTGCTAACTTTAAAGATGAAGTGATGTGTAAAACGATGTAGAATCTTGTCACGTGTATTATGTCAAACTTTATGTCAACCATTATGTATTATGTTACTAGTGTAGCAATGGTACTTACCTATTAACTCCCTTACTAAAAGGAGGTCCCCAAGTCGGGCCGCGCGGTGTAAGGCCATCGGTTTGTTCCCATTTCCGTTGTTGTCGATCTTCGCATACGCGTAAGCAGACAAAATTGTCGCAAATTCATCATCGTCGAGTCTTTTCTCGGCTAGACTTAAACCTGTCTCGCCGTTTTTATTCACGACTTCCAAATCCGCCCCTGCATTGGCAAGCACCTTGAAAGCCTCCGCGTGTCCGTTCATTGCAGCTACCATAACAGCCGTATACCCGTTCCCATCCTTCTCGTCGATGTCCAAATCGGGCTGCCTGACGAGTTTTTGCAAGGCCTCCACATCGTTCGCTCGAACAACAAACATCAACGAAGAAAACACTTGAAGATTGCTCGATCGCACGATTTTCCCGGTTCGGATCACGTCAAGCACCGCCCGTCTGAAACCCGCCGTCCATTTAACCGAGCCGGCAATGGACGACACGTCATCACCCAGAGTATTTGACAAGCCAAAATCGGACCCAGCGGAAGCTAGAATTTTAAGACAATCCTCGTTTTTCTGTCGAGTGCAGATCATGAGTGCGGTTTCCTCGAATCCTGTTTTCGAGTCCAGATTACAACCGACGCCGATCAAACGTCGGAGAATCGCGGATGAACCGAGTCGAGCTGCCAGGTGGATGGGCAAGATGTTCGACAGCTCAGCTGTCTCAACTGGGGACTCCACGTCAGCTCCGAAAGTGAGGAGCACGTCAAGTGCTCTCGGATTCTGGCAGAGGATGGCGTGGTGGATTAGTGTTCGTCCGAGATGGGGAGTGTTGGGGGAGATACGGTGGAGGAGCGCGCGGAGGATTGCACCACTGGCTTCGAAATACTCGACGGCACACCAAGCGACGGTGTAGGGCTCGGCTAAGCCTGCACCGACTCGAAACTCCTCGCCTGTGGTGACATCCCACGACCAAGCTCCGAGTTTGACCTTGATGTCTGTTCGGCAACCGGCCTTTTTATGCAAAAAAATAAATTATTTCAAGGATGAAGAAAACATTTTAATCAATACAAGATGAGTTAAATTAATTAATTGATGATTATTACCTTTAAAAGTAGCTGGACAATCGGGACCTGTCGGTTAACGATGGCTGCAACGAGCGCATTGCAATCGACGTTAGTGTACAGAGACGGTTTTGAGGATTGGAGCAGAATTCGAGCATTCGAATTCGGGTCGACTCCATTCTGTATCGATTTTTTTTTTAAAAGAAAAAAAAAAAAACACTTAGAGTGAGTTTGATACATGAAAAGAGAGCATAGATTATACCGGTAAACACTAAAGCCAATCACGTCCGAAAGAACTAATGAAATCATCAATGTGCAGTAACTTTTCGACCTTAAAAGGTATCAATAAAAGTTACAGATTGGTGTATATCAAATCTAATCCGATTTTTCGAAAATTCTTGGAATCAATAAGGAAATTTTGTGTACTTCCTTTCAAAGGATAAGCTCGAAATCAAACCGGAATTCACATCCGTCGCAATAAAAAACACCATACTAAACAAAACGAAAAAACCGAGTTGGCATAAATGTAGACCTCAACGAGTGTGGCGACAAAATCGACGAAACCTCGTCCGGAAGCAGTGACGAGAGCATGCACCGCGACATGAGGACGGATCAAGTCAGAGCCCATTAGCAGCTCGGCTGGGCCGGCCAGGCCCAAATAGGATGCCTCCAACAGAGCCTCTTCGCATGACGCCTGAGAGGCCCCGTTTTTTAGCAGCAACTCGAGCACGTGAACGTGTCCCTCCCGTACGGCGGCTGTGGTCGCGTAGCCTCGGAAAAGTTTTTGGTTCGCATTTGCCCCTGCTTTCTGTGCTCCCAAAGAACAACAAAAAAGGTTATTACATTCTAGTTTGTCATGTATTAATCAAACATTGATAACATAAAACAATTGATGGAATGGTAAAAAACAGGGACGAACTGGAATTTTTTTGGTTCTTGTGATTGATGAAACTGTGATGATGAACACAATAGGGCCCTTGTGATTGAACATCTTTTGCATAAAACAATTCAAAAGTGATTGCTAACGCTCCCTAGTGACCATTTATTACTGGTCTTAAATAATCATATTTGGACATTCAAATTTTGAAAGCATATTGCACCATATATATGCTATTACTACTGTTAATAAAGCATGTGATCCTAGCATTAATTATTGTTAAACAGAGTATATACATGAAGCAAACAACAAAGAAAATAAATGGAAAAACACAGATTTTTATATGAGATTGCTTAACTGATGTCAGATACTTTTCTTTAAAAAAAATACACATTAGACAACATATATGTTTTGTATGAATATAACACTTCAAAATAAAATAAAATAAAAAATTAAAAATTACCAAAATTCATTGCAACCCTCTAATTTTGCTTGCATTTCACGTTATTAGACTAATGATACAACGCATGACACACTTTTACACAGCTCCACAATACAATAATGTCTATTGTCTCGTCCTTCATTATATATGTCAAAATAATTAATAATTATATATATACGTTTAAACATAAAAACGATTACCAAAGATAAAAATGCAAATCAATAAAAACACCACCACAAAAATTATATTCCGTTACATAACGATCTAAATCAAAACGGCAAATACCATCGAAAAACACAGAGGACAAACTTCAAAAATTCAGAAAACAGAGGACAACAGAGAGATAAAAGACGGCTCACCAGCAGCTCCCTAACGAGCGTTAGGTTTCCGTTATGCGCGGCGGCAAACAGCGGGGTGACATCTGTCCTGAACTCCTCGAACTCGACGCACACGTCACTCGCCAGCTCACCATTGAGCGCCACCTCAGCTTTCCTCGATTTCAGGCACACCGTGCCCGTGAAATCCACGTCAGCCGCGGGTTGTGAAATGAGCTCGAGCGCCAGCTGGAGGTCGTCGGCGTGAGCCGCCTCCACCAGCCGATGGGAAATCGGCTCGTCATATGTCATTTGCGTCATTAGCAGCGTATTTTGGGGATTTTTTTTTTCGGTGTGAGTGTGTGAGGCTGTGTGTGTGACAGTGTGAGGTTAAGAGAAAATGTATGGAGAGATTGACAAAAAGATGGTCATTTTACCGCGTTTATTAGAGCTTTTTTGTGTGTGTTTGATTGTGTGGGATTGTATTTTAAATTACGATATAAAAGCATGATTATGTTTGATTAAATGGGTGGCGATTTAGTGATGATTGCACTATAATCTCATGTCGTGATTCTCCTGTTTTTGAATTTTTTTTTTAATGGGAAAATGAAAACCAAAAAAGAAAAACAAACTTTTGACTTCAAAGGTTAAGGAAGAAAAATATGTAAATCCTTTTTAAATTACCCACCTTGTTAATGAGATAAAATTTTTGAAATCTATATTGAAATTACGATTTAGATAGTATAACGGTTAGACGAATTGATTCATTATATTTTTTTAAATAAAACTGCAATTATATATAATTACTGAAAGCAACAAATTACAATATTGACCCGGGCAAGTCTAAATTGGTATATGTGAACTCATTATAAGAGGTGCATTTGATTAGAGATGTGTGATCTTATTCATTATCATCTATATATTCAATTATCCATACGTTTTTAATTTTTTTTTTTTTTCAGATTAACATGTGTATCAACTAATATAGCGAGATATTATTACATACATAATGGGTATGTATTAAAATATCGCAATATTTTAATATAAAATTGATAGACACGTCTTAATGTGTCACGAAGAGTAAACAACTGTTTTATCATGCTTTAATCAGTCTTTATCTATGCCTAATCTGATTAGACATGATTAAATCAATCTCTTAGTGGTGCTCTATGGCCTTAAACACAGGAGTTATATAATCATTAAAGGATTCAATTATATTCTTAAACTGCTAAGCAAAGATAATATGATGGAGATGTTTTTTTTCCATATATGCAGGCACCATTTGGATCATGTAACAGGAAACAGTGCTTAATTCTATAATATAAAGATTAATTACATTCTTTGAAGTTTTGGGTAATCACAATGAACATAAACGTAAGCATTAGACAATATCAGAGCTAAAACATTAGTGTACATGCAATCTATTTTGCCCACAAACTTATGTTTGAAGCCATTTCATGATATTTCTCTAATGATTCATATATTTATATTGCATTGCATTAGCACCACAGAAAAATGTTAATTAAGACTCAATCTATGTAGTGTTGACATACGAAAAGATTTAAAGCCAATTATTACCTGTCAAATATACTTAGGGCTGCAAATGAGTTAAATTGAACTTAGCATTTTAATGTTCAAGCTTCGAGAATTTAACTAGCTTTAAGCCCATAAGAGTTCGTAAAAATTCGAGTTCAAGCTTGAGCTCGTTAAACGGTTCTTTTGTGAAATCAAGCTTAACTCAATCGAGAATTTAACTAGCTTAAGCCCATAAGAGTTCTTAAAAATTTGAGTTCAAGCTTGAGCTCGTTAAACGGTTCCTTTTGTGAACTCGTCAAACTTTAACAAACTTTAGTGAGCTTAGGAGGATCTCAAACTAGTTAAAAGTGAACTACCTAACAAGTTTAACTAGTTATTGGGCTCACACCTTAAATGAATAAAACTCCGTATAATAGGTTTTGCATAAAACTGTTATTTGAATCAAACTGTTTATACAATTAATTTACGGATTGTGAAAGTTCGAGTTCGACTCATTCGTTTATTGAATGCATCATGCAAAGTTTGTTCACAAAAATTTTCATTTTCTGTTTACAATTTTCTTATGATTTTGAATGAAATATTCGAGTTAACTTGTTCGCAAACGAGAATAATTCGCATATGCGAACAATTTTTAGAAGTTTTTTAGTTTAATGAACGAATAGGGTTAAGTTCATACATATCTACTATCGTTTATTAAACGAATTGATTCAATTTGATTCATTTATTGAACAAGCACGAGTTCAAACATGAACGAAGATTAAGGAGGAATCTCGTAAAGGACCTGCCAAAGTAGTTTAATACAATCCAGATGCTAATAAACTTGAGGGGAGAATTTACATGTCGTGATGGGGGGCAATTGTCCTACTCAAATTTTAATTTTTTTTACTATTAATATTAAAAATTTTAATTTGTCCCCCCTTTAAAGTTATTTTTGCACCCTCCAGATTTTATTGTTTTTAAACGTCACTCACCAGCCAACTTGTCCACAATTGTCAATTAACAATTCAATACTTGTTTTATTGTACTATTAATTTTGTATATTAATTATTATTATTTTACAATTTTAATTGTCCCATATAAAAAACTTCAACTCTCTTTTATTGCTCAGGCTAGGGATGGTATTGGTATTTTTTGACCGAAAACCGAAAATTGAACCGAACCAATGAGGAAATAAACCGAATCGAACCGACTTATGTGTAACGGTAACCGAAAATCAGTTACCAAAATATTATCGGTTCTGAACCTATTATGTCATATCTTTCGCCCTCTCTCAACTAATTTTCTAGTTTGGCCCTGAAACTAGCCTACGGCCCAAGTTTTGACCGGGCCAAGCCCATCTCTATTTGAAAAGCTTGTGATGCCCAGAGGCCAGGAACCACACGATATCTCCATGCGCCTTTGCACTCTAGGCCGTGCAATTCGTATACTGGTCAAACATATCAAGCAATTTTGCATCGTGACCGTCCGTTGTTGCTGGCGCACCCTAATCTGCCGTAGACTTGCACATACCAAGGACCATTGTAGGCTTGTAGCTCACTCTCTTCTGTATAGTATCGTTGCTGGTTTATGTTTCTCGGTAATCACCAGCTGCATCGCCGGCTAAATGCTAATCACAGCACCTTGGATCTTTTCAGACATTTGATGCCATCATGGTACGCCTTGTTCGAATTGATCATCTTTTCCCCATGTCTTGATTTTATTATTTTGGGGAAGTGTAAAGTTTGGATTTTGTTCATGGAATTAGTCGAAATTTTGAACTCAAGATCGGTTTGTTTGTTTCATGTGCTAGTGAATTCGAAGCCTTTATCTTATTCTATCGTAGATGAATGCCGGTTTTCAGTTTTCTGGAGTTTTCAGTTTCGTCGTGAGTAAAAATCTGAAATTTTGCTCAAAATGCTTGGGCCGTGGTTTAATTGTTTGTGCGTTTTATTGTTTTCATAATATTTCAATTTATATGTTTTAGTAATTGGTATTTTGATGTTTATCGGGGATCAGCTATCTGGATTTGTATGGGCAAGTGTGAGTCTGTGTTGCGAAGGCTGTATTTTCTGGCCCGAGAATGAATATTTTCTAGAGCTAGTTTATGTTGTGTGGGATTTAGCTACTTGTTTCCTGTGTTGTGGAGCCGCAATTTTCTGGCCCAAGAAGGAATATTTTCCAGAGCTAGTTCGTGTTGTGTAAGATTTAGTTACTTAGTTTTCTGTGTGACGTTGTGGAGGCTGTAAGCTGTAACTTTCTGGTCCAAGAAGGAATATTTTCTATAGCTAGTTTGCGCTACGCTGTGCAGGAATTATTTACTTGTTCTCACTTCTCTGGGAACGGGTGAATGTTTATTGAGGATTTCCTTTGCCGAGGTTGAAAAACAGACTGATGAAGTCACACTTCAAATACAGTCATGTCCACATCCACATGTTATATCTTAAGGTGTTGAGATTTTTATTCAACTTAAATTACGTATGTATAAAGATACCATCCCTTTCTTTATTTGCCTACTGTTTCATTATGTGGTTTACAGTATGCTACCCTGTCAATTTCTTTTCTAGCATCACTAGTACGTACCTCGTGCGATGCACGGAAGGAAGATATTAAATAAGTTATTTTCACAGGCTCTATATCATTTATTGTCCACCTCTTTTAATCAGCGTTAAAATGTAGAAAACAATAGGATTATAATCTATTTTCCACCTCTTTTACAATAGGATTATAATATATTTTCCACCTCTTTTAATCAACGTTGTTTTTTTAGGCAGAACATATTGAGCATGTTAGGGATAACTTGTAAAATAATTAATATATTATCTCACTACCACATTTATAATTTATAATAATATAGATTTGATATTTGTATATATATTTATTCATCGATATAAGAGAAAATAATTGTTTTAGGACATCTCCAATTGTAAAGGGATTGCTCTATTTCATTGCCACCTAGCTCCAAAAATCCAATGTGGCATTTAAAAAATGTAGAAGTCTTTCTAGATGTAAAAAATATATATAAAATTATTGCATATATTAATAAAATTGTTTAAGGAAATAATATTTTTGATCATATCTAATTTGATCTTATTTGAAAAAATGTATATGGAAACATTATTGCATATATTTAAAATATTTCCAAAAAAGGGTATGCCTTAATATATATATATATATATATATATAAATTTTTATTAATATAAATTTTTTGCTACTATTTTTAATAAAGGGTTATTCTTATTATATATATATATATAAATTTATACTAATATAAATTTTTTATTCTCTTTTAAAGTGGTGGCGAAATAAATCGGATATGGAAAGTGGCTCTTTCAATTTCATTCCGAAAATGAAGTTTTAATTCAAATCTTTCATATGAATCAAAATGATTCTTTCAACAGGTTAATAAATCTACGCGGCTTTATCTACCTAAAAAACAGGAAAAATATAAACAGATCGTTACAGAACAATTAATGCTCCGATTTATAATTGTAAAAAAAATACTATATTTAGTAAATATTTAATGATTATGGCGGGAAAAGTTTATAAAATTGATAAATATTAATTCTTATTATATATATATAGATATAGATGGGGGGTTTTTATCTAATTTTTATTAATTAAATAATGCTGTCATGTAATATAATTAATTAATGTGTTATTAAAGTATGTGTGGAAAGGACAATGTGTGAAAAGGACAGAAAGTTGCTGTTTATAGTAATCATTTAATGCTGACCGGATTTTGTGGATTGGTTGACCTACTATTTTTAAAAAAGGTTAATTCTTATTATATATATATAGATTTGCTGCTAGTTTTCATACCCGATGGAGAGGAAACAAATCTAACTTCCCCACTCTTAAAAAATTCAGGCAGTGAATATTTTTTATTGCATGCTGGATTTTTGTTTTCCGAGTTAATTGTGATGAGGCCTTGAGGTTTAGGTTAATTGTGAAAAAGCTCCAGTATTTATGTGTATTCAAGGACATCATTTTCAATTTGACTGTTTGAGACTTTGAGTATATGATAGAAGCAATGTTATAAAGACAGTACATATTTTTAGTTTAGGAAGGGAAAAGTATTATATCCGTCGGGTAAATATGAATGAACGTTCAGTTTGAGGAGTTTAACTTATGTTATTCAAAAGATAGTGGAGAGATTTCTGTAAAACCAAATAAATAAGGTTTCACTTTGACGTTTATAAAAGCTGATTATCTAACACCTTTTGGATTTTGTACCCTTTTCTAACTATTTATCGATGCTAAAAGAGTAAAAGTTCTTCATGTCTCCTGTATTTAGGATGGATCTGTTCAAACTTCAATCCTTGTGACAGTCTTAATTCTTAACAATAATATTTAAGTGACGCAATTTTCTAACAATAATTTACGCCACTTTAAAAAATATTCTAAGGCGGCCAAAGACGACTTTTCTGGACTAGTAGCTGTGTCTCGTTTTCATATTATTTTGTAGTGATTTAAATTATTCAACATACTTATAACAAAAAACAATAAAAGAGGGGAAAAAACAGAAAGCATTAAAATTTGCATGTGGAGCAATTAACCTTTTGAATAGAAAAATGAACAGAAAATAAATAAATAGTTGGGACAATGATGGAAAAAAAGGCTCCATTATATTTTAAATAATTGCCAGAAGTGTCTTTATATAAACCACCAAACCCTCAGTACCTCAATTTTAATCTATTTAATTAACTAATAAAGAAAAATAAATGCAAAACCAATAAAAAATTCATCAAAACTTTATAATTATACATTGTTTTAGCTGGATAAAACCAGTCGAGCTGAATCGAATTTACTTGAGTTCGAGCTCGATCTTCTATTAAGCTGAGTAAAAAATTATTAACTAAATATTCGATAAATAAAATTGAATTTAACTGAATTATCAATATTAACGAACAAGTTTAAGTCTTAATAAATCAACCTTAAAAATTTATACATGAAATTATAAACATTCACATTCATTTTTTCTTTCTCTTTTTAAACAGTCTTTTTTTTTTTCGAACTCTCTTTTTAAACAGTCACAAATTGTGTTTCCGAGGAAGAAGAAGAAGAAGAAGAAGGAGGAATATTAATAATATTAAATATAGTCATTTATATTTTAATAATTTTTCTTATGATATTATGCCTTCTACAGTGAGCTTAGATTTGTCTAGACAGGCAGGCTGCTACAAACCTCATCATCTTTTCTTTCATTTTTGTCTGGAATTTTCAATCTTCTTCACAGAATAACTTTCTCCTCCATCTGCTGAATGTTAGGATAAACCAGAAAAAGCACAAATTTTGATTCTTTTATTGAGCTCCCTTCATTCTCCAATTCAAGCAAGGTACCTAATTCGTTCCTATGATTTCACCTCTGTGATTATGTTGGAATTTGCTTTTACTGGGTTATCTTTTGTCTGTTTGTTTGTTTGTTTGCTTTTTTCTAACACAGGGTTTTGATTTTTGTTGCCTTAGTTGGTAAAAGTATGAAATGTGGAAGTATAATATGGTTTTCTTTTGCTTTGAATTAGGTTTTCGTGAGTTAGAGCAACAAAATCCAGTTATCTGCTTCATGAGATTCTGNTAGTTGAATGTAATTCTAATGTCAAATTCTTTGTATTTTGATACATTGTCGTGTAATTTTCTTGTTTGGGTGGTGCTTGAACAGACTATTAAAACATCAATTAAAACAGCAAGAACTAAGCTCTCGATTTAATTTTCGCTGAGCTATGGTTCTCGGGCTCAGATCGAAACACAGAAAAGACGCGTCTTTTAGAGTTAGTTACACTGTTCATGTTAACGAAATTAGTCCGTGGCCTCCATCGGAGTATCTAAGATCCGTTCGATCCATTTTGCTACAATGGGAAAATGGGAATCAAAATTCCGGAACCTTCCTTGCAACCGCTCGAGATTCAAAACTCGTATTCAATGAAACTTTCAAACTTCCTTTAGTCCTTCATCGAGACAAACGGGCTAACGACAGGTTTCAGAAGAATTACCTAGAGTTTAGCCTGTTTATGCCGTACAAGAACAAGGCTAAAGGGCATTCATTAGGGACAGCCGTTGTGAATTTTGCCGATTATGGATTAATTGAGCACTTAATCAGCATTAATGCTGCAGTGAACATGAAGAAGGGTGGATCAGTTCAGCCGGTTTTGTCGATTAGTTTGGAGCCGGTCGAGAAAGAAAAGAACAGCTCGAGTTCATCTCCGAATCTTGGATTGTCGAAGGAGCCTTCTTTGGATGGCTCGGAAATTGCTTCTTTTACGGATGATGATGATGATGATGATGATTCTTCACAATCTTCGAGGACTGTGGGGTCATCAGCTTTCGAGGTTGCAACTTCTTCGCTGTTACAAAATGAGAAGGTATGCGAAATTTGTTTCAAAATTTTGCTATTGTTAGTGAGTGAGTGAGTGAGGGTGTGATTGGATATGGATTTGATTCGTTTTTTATTGTTTTTTTTACACTATAGTTAATTTTGAAAAAAAAATGGTATGTTTAGTTGTTAGTGGGAATTTAAGTTTAAATTGAAATAGTTAAAATAAAATAGTTAAAGTTGATTTGATGTAAAAGTAGGAAAAAAATGATTGGAAGTGATGGTTGGTTAAAATTATGTGAGTGGAGAATAGTGAATTAAAGTTGAGGTGATGTGTAAGAATGATTGGTTGATATTATTTAATTATATTGATAATATTGAGAATAGTTGGATTGAGTTTAATTTGAGTTTTGATTGGTTTTTTTTTGTTAAGTTTATAACCAATCACACCCTGAGTGATTGATTAATTGCAGGCACTACCAATTTCTGATTCTTAGCTACTTTATCTTACTGCGATTAAGTTTTTCTTTCACTATCACTAATGTGTGAGCTGAATGCAGAATGTGTATGGAGACTCCAAATTCGAGCCAGAACCGAACACGAACGTACAAACTCCGTTTAATGGTGTACCACCCTTCGATGCTGAGGATTACCGAGTAAAAGACAATGTTTCTTTCTTGAAGCATTCGTTCGAGCGGAGCATGACTTCTTCTGCCAAGAAAAACTCGAGCACCCCTTTCATTAGATCATACCCCTCATCCATAATCCCTCGAGATATAAACGGGAAGCCAGATGCTTTTGTGGCAAATTTATTGCACGAAAATGTTCATGATATACTGATTGAAAACGACCAACAGTCTGCGAAAGGAAAGTCCATTGAAGAATTTCAACCTGAAGTTATATTAGCTGACAGTGATGGAAAAGACGTTGATAACGCTCGAGAAACCGAGTCGCCTCTAGAAAAAAGTGAATTTTCTGATGGCAAAGATGAATATAAAATGAGAATTATGATGCTCGAGGAGGAACTTAGGGAAACTGCAGCAATTGAGATTGGATTATATTCTGTAGTCGCTGAGCATGCAAGTTCGGTGAATAAGGTCCACGTTCCGGCTCGAAGGCTTTCCAGATTTTACTCTAAAGCTTGCAAAACTGAGATTAAGGCCAGACGGCAGAGTGCTGCTCGAGCTACAATTTCGGGGTTAATTTTGGTTGCTAAAGCATGTGGGAATGATGTTGCAAGGTATATCCTGCTTGGATTTTCAAATTATGAGCTTCTAGAATCGTATGTCTTGTTGAATCTTGTTCTGAATATAAATTACTGAAAGTTTTAGGGAAAAAAAAAAAATTAAAGAGCTCTGAAGTTGTTAATAAATGCCTTTGTTGTGTTGGAATTGTCAAGATTACGGGATGGAAGATGTTAATAAGCTACTAAACAAGCTTTGTTCGAGGGAAAAAATTCAAATGAATTTTGAGAGCTATTGCAAAATTTTCTTTTACAGGTTGACCTTCTGGCTATCAAATTCTATCATGTTAAGGGCTATCGTTAGTGAGGTTACTGCAGAATATCAAAATTCTGACATTGACTTGGATGACGTGTCTGCCTTTATAACCGCACTTGCAAATATAGAATCTTGGCTCTTTTCTCGAATTGTCGAGTCCGTTTGGTGGCAGGTTAGGTTTATCAGTTCTTGTTTTTTATGCCCACCGACTTATCTTATTACACGAATAGATTTCATATAAATTAAGGT